ATCAGATAAATATCTTAAATTTTTCACTGAATTTCAAACAACAACAAAAAGCCATAGCAAACATTTATGGCTTTTATAATGATTGCTTTGACAAAAGCACACATTAAACAGTAATGGATTAATTTAGAATGTTCAACTCACCATAAAATTAAACTAATCAGCATTTCTGGCTTCTTCATGCTGAAGCCGATGGCTGCTCCTGCGGCAACTTTCTTTGTTGTGCTTTTTATGAGGATTTAAATTAAACGACTTACTAATTTATATAGTTAGACTTATTAGCTCTTTGTTAAACAAAATAAATAGATTTAAATTATATTTGGCACGTTTTGCGAATTTGTTGATTTATATATTAAATAAATATATGTAATATATATGTATATATATATATGTGTTGCTAGCTATTCTCCTGGCTATGTATCTCTTTATTTCTAGAGCTTATTTGGCGAGGAATTTGTCACCAGCGGTGCGACGGAGTCTTGCCAAAGAGATTGTAACCGATGATGTATGCTATGATTTGTATCCTTTCGGTAATTAGCATAACGTTGGCAATGCAGAGCACAGCATTGACCCGAATTGCAGAGCGACGAGCCTATCTTGGCCACCAAAAATGGGTTATATATGTAGGGGGTATTTATTATTAGCTGTTTTGTTTTAGCCGTGCACACGACTCGATCCGTGCAAACGCGCCAACGAACTGAAATTGAAACCGCAAACGAAAACGAAACAGAAACCGAAAACCGAAACCGAGACCAAGATCCAAGATCTTTTCCAGACCCAGACCCAGACGATAAATCCGACTCGGACTCTGAACGCGGCAGAGGCAAAAACGTATCTGAAAGCTGTCAGCCCCGGTGGCCGGGCTTAAAAGGCAAGGCACACAGACACCAAAACGGATCTGCTGTAAGCCAAGCTTCACCCCATAGCGAAACCGGTAACACAGACACGAAGCTTCTCTGGGACTCTTGGGCTCTCTGGGCCAACACCTCGCTCTCTCTCTCTCTCTTGGCGTCTTTCTTGAGCTTGAGTTTTGAGTTTTGAATTTCGAGGGGAGAAAGTAAAAATGATGCGACTGGCGTACACTCAACTACACAGCATGAGACAGGGCCAATACCGCCGATACTGACCAGACAAAAACCAAAAAAAAAAGAGATGGAAAATATGAAAAGACTTACCAAAATCAGGCCAAAAACTCACGCTTTTGTTTCGTCTGCGGTCAGAGGCTCTTTTTTTAACACCTTTTGTCTGCACTTTTGATTTCAAATCGCATCTTGTGAAAGGAGTCACGCGCTTTGTAATTTGCACAAGAAGCAAAAACAAAAGTTCCCCAAAAAAAAAGCAGAAGAAATACAAAACCTGAGTGAGGAGGCAAATATTTATTGCTGGCAAAGAGTCGAGTGGAAACAAGTTTCATCTTATTGTGGGACGAGTCTCGAGTCTGGGGTCTCCTGCTGTGATGTAAGCTTAGACATTCCCATAGACCCAAGACTCAATCTGGGTTCCGATTCCAGTCTAAGATTTAGATTCACAGCCAGCTGCAAAGGTCTCTTCATTGGGCAATGCGGCTCATTTAGAAATCGAATGCAACCCATCGCCGACTGGGCATCCCCGCGATGTCCAGACACAAAAGCCGTCTTGGCCAAGTTAATTGTTTGGCCAAACAATTCGGTTAGTGGCCAGGTGCTAAAATGGCTGGCAAACACCGCCGACAGGTGGCGCATGTCCAGCAGCCTTAAATTTAACAGCTAAATGTCATCAAAAAAGAAGGTTTCGCCCCGAAAAAGAAAAATCAATATAAGGGTGACACTTGAATTGCTAATTGAAATCAGCCAAAAGCACTTAGACCTTCGAATTTCATATATTTTTTGGTGCAGAAATTTGGATTGGTGCAATCGACTTACGGGAAGTATCTAACTAAAAATCTACTCAAAATGTATACTGTTACCCAATAATCTGAAATGCGTCATAGCTTAGCCTTATTTGAATAATTCTTTTTAAAATAATCTTCATCTTTTTTTCGCCGGTCATATTTTACTAAGCGGGAATTCCCCTTAACATTTAGGTGGATAAACAATAATACACTTCATCAGGTCTCTCAGGTCTCAATGTCCTTAAATTGCATCATTCAACTCTTTAAAGTAAAATAGTTAACTTTATTTGAATTTACTACCGCTTACGATGGTGATTTACTTTTGAAAAATAAAATTGAACACCACATAAATTTAAAAAATGTTTCTCAACAAAGTTGTTCATTATAATTTAATTTTAAAATATGTCTTATGAAAAATAAATTCAAAATAATATTTTTAAATATCTGACATGCAACGATAAATATTTCCTTATAATTTTTTTGAAATAACTAAATTATAAGTAAATTCCCACACTCAACCCAAGTTGTAACCAACTACAAGCCTTTGTAAAAATCTTCCCAAAATTGTAAACAACCCAGAAAACACCGTCAACATGTTCCCTTGTAGAAAGTGCATTCTGACATGAATCCCCACCTTTTCGTGTTCATTTTCGGAATAATTTCATCATTAAGACACGAAGAAAACAGTGTTGTGTTGAGTTTGCTCAGGCCCGCGGGCATGCAGGTCAATGTATTTATCGAGAGCTTGGAGATGGGCATTTTGATTTGCATAATCTCACATTAGCTGACATTATGTTTTCCTCATTTCAATGATGATGATGATAGACAACCTTAACTTTCCAATCAATCAGCACACGGGAGCCGAATGCACGGCGACAAATGCCACGACATTTTACAGATCTGCAGTCGGTGTCGTTGGATTGTTGCTATTTTGCTGCCGTTTACCCTTTGATGTCGCTTCATGGCTAATGGACGCCCCTCACATGACCTTGCGATGGGGCCTTAATTTGTCACCTCAGTTGACCAAAACAAAAACTGAGCTGAAATTACATTTAAACGACCATTTCAGTGGCCGCTCGCTTAATTACAATAGATGTGTCCACAAATCTGAAACTCGTCGAGAGACATCTCTTTGGAGATGTTTCTCTGAATAACGAAATACAAACAAAATTGGCATCACAAGATGGCATCACGTGCTTAATGCTAATCTCCATTTTAATTTTTTTAACGTATTCAACTTCGTGGTTTGCCCTCTGCAGCTTGGCCCCAGCATATGGTAGTAGTAACAGGAACCAAGCCACAAAGCTCTAACTAAAGAAACATCGAAAAGTCGTTTGCTTGGTTGTTTTTTGTGTTTGGTTAGACGCCGTTGTTTTTGGTCAGACTCATGTGATCTGAACGACGCTATCGTCGACTGGCGACGCTTTTTTTTTTTGGTTAACAATAATTAATAAATGCACTGGCGGGGCATACTTTATATTACTTTCTGTTTTTTGGACAAACACTTGCTAATTGTCAACACGGATGCTGGGCTTTATATGACGCACTTGACCCCTAAAAAATCCTTAGTGCTCGATCCAATTCAGGGGAATTAGTAAGCCGGTTCTATCGTTAGTGTTTCACTTGAAACTGAGATTTAAGTCGATATTTCGTTTATGGGTTTCGGTATCAGAAGAGCCTCTCATGTCATAGAGCGGCCATTGGCCAAACTTCAGCCTCGAGAATATCGTGTGCCAGGCACTAAATCGATTTTTTTACTGCTCTTCAAATGGCGTCAAGATCTGCCAAGTTTCGAGGTCCGGTTTAACGCATTACGTAAAAGAGGCGCACACAGAAAAATAAATAAATATCGATTTAATGATATTGGAAAAAAATGTATATAAAAATGAGATAAAATGAGACAAAAAAAGAGTAAAAATTCCGTTAGTCAAAAATAATACAAAAATTTGAAAAAGCTGCCTCCAAAAAGTCGCTCAAGTGTTGGACATGTTGTTCACGTTATGTCAAACTAATTTTAACGATTGAGAGATGGGGCGAAAGGGCTGATCGGTAATTTATGTATCGTTAAAATTAAAATTTAAAATTATAATCGACGAACAAAAGACAAACGGCAGCAGCAACCACAATTAAATATGCCCAAACAGATTGGGAAGCCATACTTTAACCGGTTCCTCTTTATCAGCAATAAAATATTTGCACTGTAACCCTCCTCAATCAAGGTGAAAGTATTAAATATCAAAAGTAAACTTTTAAATAGGTGTAGATATAATGTTTTATAGAAATGTATATTTCTTGAATTTTTCAATACAAATAAAGTTGTTCTCTAAAATTTCTTGTCTAATTATTTTTATGTCTTTGTTCTTCACTTCAGCTTCAATTGCTGCATTATTTTAGTTTTGCTTTGTTTTAACCAAACAAACGTGCTTTGTGTGGGTGTTTTATGGGATTCAAGAATGTCTATCACTTCGTGATTGTTGATTGAGCCGGCAACAAACAAAACACTTTTAACTATGAGGAATGTATTGGCATTTTTTCATTGTTTTGATTTAAGCTATTTCCCCATTTCAGCTTAATTAATAAAAAAAAATAATGATTAGAATTTTAGATTAGATTATAAGGAAACTAACTCGAATACTGTATAAATTGAAATGTAAGTATTAATATCGGACTTTAAATATTTGATTTGTCATAATCCACTCTCAAAATTCTTTCGGTTTTATATCATTACATTTGCGACTTATTTTTTATCTTTAAATTTTTGTGCCTTTCTATAATGAATTCCAATACTAAATATATGTATTCGAATTTAATAACAGGTATATTATAGTCGAAGGGTATATTATTGTTGAAAAGACCACAAATGCGTATACGCAATGTAAACTCAACACTTCTTATTATTAATGCCCCAAAAACCATTCAACAAATTGTTCAAGCTTATATTTTTAAAAGCCTCTCAAGAGTAGGCAATAGTTTTAAAATGGGCAGATGCCAAAATAAAACTGTTGCATATTTTGCGGACTCTCAAATAAATAGATTACAAAATTCCCTCGTGTAACTGCCATTTAAAAATAAGATCAATATCGAACCTATTTGTTATTAATTTACATGTTATATTTATTTAAACCCGCATGAGTTCATTGTGGTTGAGCTCTACATTTTAATATAATTACATTCTAAACTGGAATAGATTAAAATCAATCAACCTCTAGCACTGTTTACCTTGTGATCTAAAAATATATCACAAATATTTATCGCTGCGACTAGTTAAGGGATGTGCCGTTTCCTACAGCCGCTTCTTGCCTTCGTTCAGTTTGTCGGAGACCTGCCCTTTGAGCCACCACTTGTGGACCCTCCTGATCATCCGCCATGGTAGCCAGATGGCGAGGAATGCGCCCAGCAGCAGACATCCCAGGACGTCGAGCAACAGATACTGATGGAGGGGAATGAAGGCGCCCTGCGATTTCAAATGCTTGGCACCGCGATGCCGGATTGTGTACTCGATCCAGAAGGTGGCCTCGTCCAGCGGATGTATGGGATTATCGCGGAAGCGCTGTGAGACCTCCAATGCACTGCGTTTGTACTGCGGATCTTTAATCAGAGTCTCGATATTCCGCACCAAATCATCGGTGGTGAGTTTGGAGAACACCAGAGATCTGGCATATCCCTCCCGCACCGATTTGATCGTATTCCGGTGTTGATCTCCATACAGGGGTATGCACAGCATCGGCACGCCCCAGTAGATGCCCTCCTGGGTCCCGAAAATACCGCCATGGGTGATGAAGAGCTTGACATTCGGATGGGCCAATATGTCGTTCTGGGGCATCCACTTCTTGATCATCACATTAGAGGGCAAGTCCCCTATTGAATCATTCTCGAACTTCCATATCACTTGCTGTTTAAGCTGACCGAATGCCTTGAGTATCAGAGCTGTCTTCTCGGGCGGCAGATCAGTGCTCTTCACATAGGAACCCATACTGAAATAGACCACTCCGTTTGTGGCATTATCCAGGAAGCTTTGAAGGTCAGCGGGCAACTTCTTGGGCTTCTGAATGTGAGCTCCTCCCACGTCGACAAGTCCTGGCATACTGGGTCTCGGAAGATCCACACTACGATGCGCATTAATGAGGACAAGGGAGATATTTCGTTCAAGGTCAACAACTTGAGGTATTGGGCCTTTAAATAAAATTGTAGAATGTAAAATGATCTACAAATTGATATCTCCAAAACTCACCATCAATATATCCCTTGAAATACTTCTCTGCCAGCTGCTGCATCTTAGGTAAGTAAACCCATCGCCTCATGATCGCATCATACATAGATAAGTAGGCATTATAGGCCCGCTGACTGAAGGTCATCCGATCTGTATGCGACAACAGAAGATGGGGAATCAAAGACCAAGGGGTTAGGATGCCCATCGCGTGATCTATATTGTCGGCATAGCCCATGGTGCCAATCGTAACCACCGGACAGTTAAACTTCTTGCCAAACATCAGGAAGGCCTCGTGGAAAAACTGTTCCAAAATGACTATATCATAATGTTCATCTGTACTCTCGATCAGTTTTTTCACTTTGGGATCCCTTAAAGCATGTTCTGTGGTCAAGAGTCCAACGGTCCAATAAAGATCTAGATTGTTGAAATCGCTGGCGAATCGCATTGTAAAGATGTTTTCCTTTGGAACTAAATAAAAATAAGATAGTAATAGTTTTATGCTTCTCATATACAACTCACAGTGCTTGGGGATATCAAAAGAAGGACTGATTATAATCTCCGTTAGATTCTCGTGAGGCTGCTTGGTCGGATGATTATTTACACTGGTCACATGGTGTCCCTGACGCAGAAGATCCTTTTGGAAGTGCTCCAGCCAGAGCCAATGACTTGGGGCAGGAAAAGGTCCCATGAAGAGTATTCGGTAGCCAGTTCCAAATCCCGGCAGTCCGATCAGGAAGATCATCATCCAACATTTCCACTGCAGCTGCATCTCCATCTGATTCGAAATCAACATTGACAATTAACAGCCTCAATTAAATTGTCAGTCGAGTAGGGAAAAAGTCGCATTATTAGCGACAGGTTAGTATTAGATGCAGTTTATGTTCGGTGTTTGATTTCGTTATTTGCATAAAGCAAAGTGCTCTTACACGTCCTGATTGCAAATGATTGTACTATTAATGAGATTTCAAGTTTAATAGATCGTCCAGCTGCTAAATGAATGGATTGCACATGGATGAAAGGGAAACTGTTACAACTGAATAATTAATTAAAGTTAACACCTTTAATAACCGCTTACGTTCATATGTTCTTTGTTAACTTGGCATAAGTAAATATTTAAATTATAATTCTATTAATCGGGAATCATATCTGATCTGATTTTTCTTCGTACTCAAACTCGCTTCAGTTTCAGTGTTTTACAGATTCAGTCTATTAAATGAACACACCTTTGGCTTTCTGAAAGCCAATTGGATCTGATTGAAATGCAGCAATATAATTTCATCATTTTAAAATTAGCAATTAATATTTGAAGTGGACCAGACAGCATTCTTGTTGGCTTACACGCCTTTTATGGTACGTTTCAGCTTATCCCCACACTTTAGTTTTGTTTACTATGGCGCTTTTATTATATTTTCCAGACAGATTCATTTTTTTTTTATTAGTGCCTTCCTAATCATTTATTTCTTATCGTTATCTGAATGTGGGTCAACATTCGTGTGCCAAAAAAAGGTTTCACTTGTCATTCTGTCCTTGACAAATTTAGTTAGGGCCCTCAAAATAAAATGACGCCTAATTGGATTTAATTTAGTGTTTTGACTCTTAATCATATTTAATTTATTTGATACCCTGCCATAGGGTATAAACGTCAGCCGGTCTCTTATGAGAATATTTAAGTTCTCATCTATATGAGATATCTGAATATACTTTGAAACTGAAATCTTATTTGTATCTAAGAATCTCCGTTAATACTATTCAAAGTAACAAAAGAGAGTATTTCAACATCTGTATGCAAAGTTTTGCCTGATATAATTTCTTTCATAACTTTTTGTTTAGGTTGACGATGTATAATAGACAGCTAACTGAAATATAAGTAAACATGCTACAAGCTGTCGTCATTGAGCCGATCTGATAAATCGCATGTGGAAATAATTTTGTCATTGCAATTTACTGTTATACTTTAATAGCTAAATTGTATTTCCTTATATTAGCTACCGCATATAGTTGCTGTGTGTAATTTCAGTTGTAATGCAAGCTAAAGTTGGTTTTTAGAGGCTTTGGTCAAGGTTGGAAGTTAAGGCATAATTGCTTTGTAATTTTAATTCTTGCCACCACTAATTGTTTACTTGTTTGAAATTAAAAATATTTTATTTCAAAGGTTTTAAGTGCTGGGAACGTGGGTAAGCCTTGTAACAGTTTTATAGATTTGATTGGTCGAAGTGTCGAAGCAAACGTTTTTTGAAAGTAAAAGTAATTTTTTGTGAGTAAAGTGAATGTGAAAGTAGTTGCACTTTCGAAATTACTATTTTTTCATTTATAATTAAATTACAATAGTTATATAAAACTTTTTTTAAAACCTTGCCCTCATATATAACTTAAATTTTTTTTGCAATAAAAACTGGTTACGAATTTTTATTGTTTAATGAACTAATTGCAACAATTAAAGATGTATAATTTAATCGATTTATAGCATATAATCTTCATGAGATCAAAATAAATTTAATTCAGGAAATATATAAATTCTAATATTTCGACGTGAAACAGAAATCTTTTTTAATCAAATTCCAATTGAAAATTCATATTCCGAATTGTTTAACTGTTAAAGCTATTTACAACATTCAAAAGGAATTTATATATTTGTATTTATACTGCTAAAAATATTAAGACTACCGATACAGTATATATTTTGTTTTATATAAATTCTTTAAAAAAATGTTAAGCGTTTCGTCCGTGGTTTATTGTATTCCTGTTTTATTTATTAACCTTTTATATATTGAGTTGACTTTGTCTCACGAAAATAGCACTTGTATTTATTTGCACTTGGAATTCAAAAAAGTAATTATCACGTTCCAAATTTGCACTGAAGATTTGCGCGAAACGCGACCACTGGGCACCAAAGTGCGGTTATCACTGAAACTCGGCTGCTCACACGAAGCGCCGAACACCTCAACTTAATCAGCATTAGCCTCAGTCGAAGTCGAAGTCTCGGCCGACGTCGGCAGATACAAAGGCATATAGAAATACAAGCTTAGCTGTATCTGTGGGATTCGAGTGTTAATGCCACCCTGGCACCGAGACAAAGATACAGAGGCAGATCAGCCGGCGAAGCTCATTGTTTGCCTTAGTCTTATTGTTTGATTGCCTCTCGTATGTGTACTGTGATAATTGCAATATGGAAACAGTTGATTGCATGTATTGCCCAAATAATTATAAGCTGTCAATTTCACCTTTTATCCATACATTACTCATTCACATGTCGATCGAGGGATCAGAAATTGCTTACATGTAATTTGTACTGCGAAATAGACTTGGCCAATGAACTTTTGCCAACTGGGCTTATAAATTAATTGGTGTGGGATTTTTGCCAACAAACAACAGCGAACCAGCTAAACAAGAATTTGGCCTTATCAACCAAACACAGAAATTAAATCAAATTTCGAATATTGCACAAATGGAACTGTAAATAAATTTATTTTGAAAATCAATTTGTAACTTAAATCAATTCATTCTTATCGATAATCAAAAGACTCATATTTTATTAGAAATCGCTTCAGGATACATCAGTTTGAATAAATCACGAATTTCTATGTAAGAAAACTGCTTGCCTCGCCAGTGGGATTTCCATTTCTCACATTTCCTTGTTAGTCGGAATCAAAACAATTCAATAAATTTATCAAAAACGTGTTTTGTTTGTAAACGGAAAGTAAAACCGACATTTTTCGTGGGGAAATTATATTTAGTATAACAAGTATTAAATTAATGTATTTGGTGCGTTCACCTTGGGAGCGGTCAAGTTCACTTCATGATAAGACATATCATTAAATGATAATTAATTTCTGTTGATTTTTTATGGTTGCCAAACAAATGGTAAAAAGAAAGGCAAAGATAACACATATGTTATAAAGGCCAGTGAGAACATGCAATAAATTAAGGGAATAATAAAGAAACCAACCCAAAAAACTCAAAGTCGGCTAAAAAAGGGCACACACAACACAAGATGCCGAAACATTTCATTGAAAATTGGCACGCTTCATTGAAGCGAGGCACAAAGAGCTGGAACCGTACTCCAAAAGGGGCGGAGAGGCGCAAGGGCGTGGCTGGGCGTGGGCGTGGGTGTTCACCCAAAACCAGCGACGATGATGGACGACCATGCCCCAGGCGCTGTTTTGATGGCAACACAAGACATGGCCAAGAACGGCACTTTTGATGCAAACGATCGCCAGGAAAGGCCACCAAAAAGAAAATGTTCATTCATAAGATAGCAGTGGACATGCCACAATGAAAATGAATGGCCTGTAACAAAAATGTCGGAGGAAAAGAGCGATGAAAAAATGGTGAGAGAACAAACCGCTGATGAATGAAACGGAAAATAAAATACAAAATCGGTTTTATATAATTTTTCAAATGATAGTCCAATAAAAATAGAAACTTTAAATGATTGTAATAAGTCTCAAAAGATTATAATTTTTTTAGTTTGGTTCTGTTATAGAAAAATATTAATTTTTGGAAATGTGCTGTGCTGTTCGGAGTAAAAACTCAGTTACTTGTTTTTTTTTAAACCAAACTAATTTAGATTATCTTTTAAACTAAAAATTGTTTGAACAAATAATACAAAATTATTTAAGCCATAATTTATTTTCTTAATTAATTAACTTATTTTACGAATTAAAGGTGCAAAACCTTGAAAAATATTAATTTAACGGCACTATACAAATAAATCAACCCTTTGAGACTCACTCTGAATCATTTACGAGGTGCAAACGACAAATTGCCTAAAACACCAGACCCCAAATAAGATTGCTCTGATCAATGGAACCATACACCATTTTGGACCCAGGCCCAGCCCAAATGAAAATTGACTAAAATAGTAATAAAATACAGATCACTATTTGTTAGTTTGCGCCAATTTTATGTTTACTTTGCACTTCAGTCCACGGCCAAATTAGGGTAAATCAGACAAAAACGAATGGGAGCGAGACCTTTTGTATCTCATGCTGCCATTAGTCTCTATCTATCAATCAATTAAGCCAACGTGCGCTTTTCCCAGGCGCGCTTTAGATAAAGACACCATCGAACATAAAATGGGAACCAAACCCCACGATGACACTGACAAATTTCCACGGAACGACGACCTTTCAATTCGATCGCGTTGCGTTGCGCGGGGCAATTAAAAATTTCACCCAAATAGCAAACGTTGCGCATGATTAGTCAACGAATTGGAGAACTTCGATCCGAACCCGCATCGGGAAAACTCGATGCCCTCAGTCAGCGGGTGGTCGAAGTGCCCACGATGGCAGAAAATTGAACAGACCTAAAGGGAGAGAATCTTGTTTTGGCAGCTGTCAATGTGTCAATATTAATTTAATATGTCGAAAGCAGAATTCAGCACAATTTAAAATTGAGTTATAATGTGACACACGAGATGGTCTCGAAATATGTGGTACTTTTAAGGGTTGTAAACAGAACTCAAGTGGTTGGGGATTCCCATACTTTAAGTGACTCAGGGACCAACCCCGTAATCTTAATTATTTTCTTGTATTTCTGGTAGCTTTAACCTCTAACAATTTGTTAATGAGCAAATTACATGGTCTTTGCATATAAATTCAAAGTTCGTTACCTTAGCATAACATAAACTATCAACCAGAACACTGGACACGCCCTAAAAGTGATTCACTGCCGCAGGAACTTCCCCACATTTACCAAGAATTTCTGGCGATAGGCAAACAACTATAAAAACTGTTGAGGCGTAAAAGGATGCACAGGAAAATTGTATTGGTAGGTGCACTTACCACTTCCTTTCCAGATAGCGCTATCATGGTTTATACGGTGGGTTCAAAGAAGCAAAAGATTGGGGGTCCCCATGGTTAACTTGCATTCTTGAGATATTGTGTGAATAAAATCCTGTACTTAGGTGTTTATAAAGAGGTTCCGGAAATATCTTAAAGTTTTAGAATTTCTTTTTTTTATTCGTATTAATTCTGTAGGAGTTACTTTTTAAACACCGCACATATGCTCTGGTACTGTATTCTATTTATAATTAATGATGGCTAAAAGACGTAATCCCACCTCCAAATGTTTTTTCATATTACACGCTTTTTTTTGCTGAATAACTTCCAGAGGGTTGTTCTTTATCTCTACAAATAAAAAACATGAATGTTACTATATGATAAGGATAGGCTATGCAAATACACTGAAATATGGCTGAGCCACTTGACAACCCACGTGTACATTTAAGTTTTCCTGCCTCAAACATAATACTTTCGAAACACAAATGACTTCGTGTTTATCACACTGGGGCTTTATCATCGAATTGGTTTCGAATGTTTTTTCGGATTGCACCCAAGGCATTTTCAGCATTTCTCGTTCTGTTTTCGATGGTGGTGCTCTTGCTTCCCTGGAGCAATTAGTAAAAGTGCAGTTTTATGTGTTTATTTTTACATATGCCACAGCTGTGTGACCTAACCTAGATCCACGTAGACGCTCTCGTAGGCACTCCTCCGGAACAATTTTTCCGAACACAAATTGTGCGTGATATGGAGTCGTTGCTGTCGCTGTTATCAGGAACAGCCCCTAAGGGTTTCCTTTCGCGCTGCACTCGTTCAGCCTTGAAAGGGGGCGTGTAATCGAAGGCACACAGAGAGAAATGAAAATGTCCTAAATTAATGATTGATTCTGTTTTTTTTGCAATTTAATTCAATACCATAAAGGAAATTTAGACATTTAAGGAAGGAAAGCAAGAACAGACCTTGTTTTTCACTATCTATAGGATTATTAAAAATAATTAAAATAAAGATTAGATAAGTATTTTTTAAATATGATAATTTAGAGTTAAGAGTTCCTTTTTATTTACTCACTTTTATAATTTTCCATGACCCAAAACTTCGAATTGCAAATATTTTGAGTTATAAAATGTATTTCTCCTGTATTTACAACTTATACTGCCTTACAATTTGTTTAACTCATTGGGGTAAGTGCCTTAACTTATGTAGTAGCCAATATTATCAAGATTCATATTTTTTTGTATTATCTGATACCTAAGCCCAATAATATCTTGGTAACTGTTTTCAATTAGATATTTTCAACGAAAGAAACGGAAAACTAGCTACTCCCGCCCAGCTGGCTCAGGAGTTTCCCTAGGTGTTTTTTTAGTGATTTTATGCATTTAATTTATTAATGAGCTAACCGCGGCGAATTCTTTATTCGGAGCGCCTGATTTATGAGGCATCTGCTGTCAGTAGGAATTTCTGATGGCTGTCAGGGAGGTCGAATAATCGCTGGGTGCGGGTCGCTGCATTTCTGGTGTTAAAGGGTTCATTAGCACGCCAAAAGGATATTTACACAACAGGACAGTCGGAGGGAATAACAGCGAGCAGGAACCGTGTGACTTATGTAACTTAATAGGCTGATGAAAAATGGTTAAGAGATTTTTATCACTCGACATGCAGAGACAGACAGAGGAAGGCAAACAACATGTGGCAGAGTCGGAGGCAAAAGGCGATGCCCCAGCCAAATTGCAGCCACATGTGTGGGTGCACAGAAAAAAAAACATTATCATAATGAATCTGATACAATAAGATCAATATATAAGATTTATAAGATCAATTTATTAAATGATATAGAAATGATATGAATGATATGTTTGCCTAGTAAACTAACATTAATATTAAGTGAAACTTTTCTTTAGAGAGATTCATTAATATTTAAAATATTTTTTTAGATCTTAACAATTATAGATTTGTTTTCCATGTATGAGCCATTGCTTACCACAATGAAGATGAAGATCATCAGAGAGCAACGGCAGCAGCGTCCAAGCACCGCTAAACAAATTGAAAAATTTCAAGTCCTCAGCCTCTTGCGATCGCAATTGCTCAATCCGCGTATTTTCGCGTGCTGCACAGGAAAATGAAAATGAAAAAAAAGGGGGAAAAGCGGAGAGCACCCAGCACTGAGAAAATTAACAGCCGAACAACCGAGTGTCATCAGCGGTGTCTCAGTGATGAGCAAAGAGCCTTTCCAATTTGGTAAGGGGGTGAATGGATCTTCGGAGAATCGTGTAGTATAGAATTAATGATGCCGAAAGAACGGGAAAACTGTTCATTTTACCAGCTATGATTCACTTGTAATACCACGAATATATGACAAAGTGGACAAAATAGTGGGTGATGTTCATTAAAAATTATATTGGTAATGTATTGAAAAATAAAAAATTAATTGATTGTTTTTATTATAATTTCATTTTAAAGAACCATTAAACATTAAATAAAAAATGTCAAAAAAATTTTGTAATGATTTTCTCGTAATTGGACTGAAACATATCTTTTTAAAAACACAATAAAATGTGTAAGGAATACATAAATCTTAATTAATTTATATGATTTTTCCCGACTTAGAGTAGCAGATCTGTGTGTGTATCCCTTTCGCATCCTTTGCCAGCAGGCAAAGGCTCATCTCTGTTATCTAGATGGAGATACGTATTGGGCTCGCGTTTGCGTTCGCGCGTTCGCAGAGCGCACAAAAGTCACTCGCGGGTGCGCCGTGGAGTGGTGGCATGAATCGACATCGGAGGCATGGGAGGCATGGCAGGCATCTGAGGTTGTTGAGGGAACCATGGGGTCTCGGTCTCATTGGGCATTTCGAGCGAGCGCACTACTGCGTGCGGAATTTTCTTTCCTCTCGGCTCAGTCTGTGAGAAATCGTTGGCGTGTTCGGTTCGTTTGCTTATCGAACAGTTGGAAACTCGGAAATTCGGTTGCTTCTTGGTGCGGGTGGCGGCAATCGGAAAACGCGGAAAACTCTGCGCGCCCCTTCAGAGTTTTTCCAACGTGAGTGGGCCAGTGTATGTGTAAAAAATAGAAATTTAATTTATTTTTAAGTTTCTGCTTTTGCTTCCCCATCTTTACGGTGCTCTTTGGGTTCTGTCGGCACTTCTCTGTCAAGAATTCCGGCTAAAAACTCATTGTGAATGGAAGCGTTTGTTGTTGTGCCTTTGGATATATCTTATTGGGGAAAGCATAAAAGATACAGAACTTTGCAAATTGACCGTGAATACGACCCATTCTGATAGTTCTGTGAAAATTGCCAAAGGGCTTAGCCAAACAAAGTCAGTGATCTCAGCGGAAGTAAACGAATGATGTGTGCACGAGCCGCTAAGATAAATTAAAATATAAATCAAACAATTTAAAGGCATAATGAGTGTGAAAAATCGGGTGTTGAAATCTTTGGCAGAAAGTCGAGAAAATGAATGAATCAAATTATGAGGAATACAAACAACCAACAAAAAGCACAAAACATAAAGTGAAAACGAAAATTGTGCCAAATTGAAAAGTGCTATAAAATAATGTTGAATAAAATGAAAATTATAAATTTCAAATCTGACATAAACGAATTTTAAGCAATTAAAGCTGCACAAATGAATATAAAGACAACTAATTTAGTTTTTATAACCCAAAAATTAATAAGACAATTAATTCAGTTTTTATAACCACAAAATGTTTGAGGTGTACACATATAAAATATAGAAATTGAGCTATGAAAAATGTAAAAAAAAAGCTACAATACCAAGCTTTATAATACAAGAATGGTTTTCCTTTTTAAAAAATATTTCCACAAATCCTACACAAAACTCAAACTGTACCCAGTCAAATCTGCTGTGGATATATGCACCAATAAAATTCATATTTGTGACATATGGTGCAGAAATCGCACCAGAGCACAACTCCATTCATCAATCGCGGTACTCGGCGATCATAAATCACAGTGCCCAAAAAGAGTGTGACTAAATCATCGACTGCAACTGAGATGGAGAAAAAAACTCTGCACACCTCGGAGGCCTTCGAGTTAGGAAAGCGTTCAAATCGGCGTGGGCCGGTGACGCCTACCAATTTTCCATATAAAAACAGCGGTTTCATGGCTTATCAAATCAATTTTCGATTTTCGGTAAAGCGGTATTTTGTTGGCCTTTTGTTTTCCAACATTTTGTGGGCCACCAATTTTTTAATTACCATAAAAAATATAAACTAGTATCACGGAAAGAACTTTCCCAAAGTGCATATAGCTGGCAGCTGGCAGTCTCCGACTATCCGGTAGATACATTTATTAATTTTTATGTAAATGGTGAAGAAAATCGGGGGGAAAGAGGGAACACGCGTCTGTCATAAAATGCACCCCGGCGATTGTCACTTTATTTTTTCGGTTTCGGTGTCGTCTGCAGCGGCAAGGCGTTTCAAATTGTATTTTGACTGCTGCGACGGGCTATAAAAATATTCGAAACGACAAGAACTTGGGCGGTGCATATAAAAATTAACAAGCAGAATTAGCGGAGCGAAGTTAACAAGAACGCAAGACACGACTGCCGTTCCTGGAGGCTGTGCAATTGACCTCATGATGTCGAACCTGCCGCAGCTCCGTTCTGCATTTTCCCTCAGAAATAAATGCATAAACATAAGGCCAAAGAGTCTGGCAGTATTTTTAGAAACCCCCGGCGTAAATAATTCATTTTCCAGTCACAGTTGTTGACGTTTTGGCGTCGCCTGAAGTTTCCTTTTCCTTGGGGATTTTCCCCCTGGGATTACAAGTCCCTCTCGATTTGCATTCTAAACTTGAAAGTGTCCTATTTTTGGCCTACGAGCCCATGAACTTTGACTGCCGTTGCACATCGAACTAGAACTTCCACTTTATAAGACCAAATCCCTCATATTACCCGGCATGAGCCTAAGCTGCCCGGCCACTTAAGGCCACTTTTTATGGGCGATCCCCCCGCTTCGTCACCCCAAAAAAATACAATAAATTTTACTCAACTGTGCAGCAATTTCCACTGAAGTGGAGGAGCAAACTCGTATCTCGGACATGCTGCGGCAGCAACTCAATTAAGTCTCCATAAAGTATCTGTAGATACGCTAATCAATGATATATATGTATTTTCATATGTAACCCCAAAGCTTCGGAGGTCTTCGGTACTTGAATTTATTAGAGATTTGTTTGGCTTAAAATCTATGGCAATTAAAATAGCAAATGAATGACTCAAGTGGAAGATGTATATAATAGTGAAAGAATATAAAATCAAATTGATCATAAAATCAATGAAAATAAACATGGCTGAGCAAGCAAAACAAACCATGAAAATTGTGTAGAACATATGCAAATATAAATTAATATAATCTAATTGAATGTGTATATTTGGAATGAATTGAAATAAATACTACTGAAGCTTTCCCTCAACAACATTTTTTATCTCTTAATTCAGTTCCATTGAGTCTAATTTATACTAAGCTGTTTGTAATAAATAAAAAAAGAAATATTTTGTTTCCCTACAGACACTTTATAACACAAGAAAATAAAATACTCATTAATCTGAAAGCTATAAAAACTATTCACTAATGAGAAAAAGCCTTTCAAAAATAAAATACAATTTAATATTACCTCTTAAAAACTTTTTAAAGTCATTTCCTCAACTCACCAATTAAATATGCATAAAAAGTGCCATATAAATCGCGGTAAAAATTTAAATAAAAAGGAAAGCAAATACGTAATGTCCATAAATCTATTTCCAATTACAGTGAAGTGCAATTGCCAAGAAAAATAACAAACAAACGGCTAAGCGCATCAGTCGTCAGTGCCAATGTGTTTATGATAAAACCTCGACGAAATTGAAACGTAATCGGGCGAAAGTTGGCCGGCAAAGTGCGTACATAAACGGGCTGGGAAATTAAGAGGAGCAGCCGCTTCAAAGGAAGCCAGTTCGACCGACTGTCAGCCAGTCCGTCAGCCGGCCATATTCGAGGTGATTCCCCTTCCTGCCAGAGTTCTGTCAACGAAATGACATGCAGCATCTGTCTATGTGGCCATCGGGCCAGGACGTGAAGCTGTCCCGCTGTTAGAGAGCAAACCCCGATGCTCGATTCTCGATGCCCCGATGATGCTATTTTTATGAGGCCCCAGACTACGACGACGACGACGACGGATGCGTGGCCCCATGAAAAATCAATTAACACGCAAAATTATTAAAGACGAAAAACAAAAACGAAAACGAACGAAGCGCGAGTGGTACTTGGGGTTCCGGATCTGTGCGTTCCCGTTCCCCCATCATTATCCGATCCTTCCCCGCCATATCTCGCGTATATAACTTCAAAGCAGCTGCAACGGAATGTCGCGCCTCCGTGGATTAGGATGGCTCTGGCTGGCACTGCTGGCCATACTGCAATTGCAAACTGTCGCAGCCATAAAAGGTGAGTTCAAAAAAGTTAAAAAAAAAAAAAATAATAAGAAAAAAGTTAACAAGAAGCTGCGACATAGAACGTACAGTTAATTAAATGTTACGACAGTCAGGTAGCCAAAGATACGCGCCCCAGAACTTAATACCGCGCATAAACATCAGATTTATCATGGCAAATGATCAACGCACGATTTATGCTCATTACAAATATGGCCAGCCACGAATTGGCCACAAAAAAAGCGGTCCAGAGAGGCAGAAGCAGCTGAAGCCAAATTGCATTTACTTTGGCTGCCATCGAAGCGGACATAAATAAAAGTCAAAATAAAGAGTTGCAAATGGTGCAATGCCACATACATTTTGGTGTTACTCGCGTGCGCCAAAGAACAGACACAGTGGGTCAGATCGTGAATATTTTTGCTTAAACAGTTTTTTTTAATATTTTGGGGCTTTACATTTTTAAATTTAAAAAACCACAATTTTTCGTGATTCTTTTTAATCAATATACAAATTCTTTAAGCGTATGAAATTCCTAGCTGCTTGTAAAAAAGATACGTATTCTCTTAGGACATATCAATATATTACACAATTTTATTGACACATATTAACATTTGGAATTCCAAAAGCATTAAGCTTCACTATTTATCTGCAATTAAAGAAACCTATCTGTGTTCCCACGTATATTTCATTTTGACCTCTTGAACTTTAAAAGATTTATGTCAATCCATTTCTCTGACTAATTTGACCAACTGGTCGCTGCTTACTTCGGGTTTCCTTCCTGTTGCTATCTATCCAGATATATGTAGGTATAGCCCCGTAGTTTGGCATTCGCAATGCTCCATGGTAACCCCGGCCGGCCCATAAAATCCAACTACTTAACTACAATGCGCCGCTGCAGTGCACTTAACGCATTTTTCACGCTTGACATTTGACTTAGGGCGCACTTTTCTCGTTGTCGTTGTCGTCGTCGTCGTTTCTGCTGCCTTTGTTGTTGGGCCAAGGGAAACGCAGAGTATCTCAAACTCGAAGTATCTGTGCGGTGCACCGCAAAAGCTATCCAAAGCCGGGCGTGCTCTTAATTTCGTGGTGTCTACACAAGGAGACGCACAGAAATATGTACGATATATTTTGGTCTTGGCGCAAATGTATTTTTGATGATATTTTTAGTTGGCATGTGACGTCACTTGGGGGCTAAAGAGACAAACGTGAATCATCCGCAGAAGGCGAACATTTTTTTTCTCACTTTTTTAATCTGTTTCATAGGATTTTGTTGTGCACTTCAATAAGTATCCATTTCAAAATAGATAAAAAATGTTCTGACAAAAACTGATTTTAATTCTGATTCTGCTTTCAATGATTTTTATTTTCAATATTTTACTATCAATAATTTCACATATTCTTAAGTAAATTCATATCGATCAGATCTTGACCCACATGTTTTTCTTTGCGTGTATTTAAATATATACTTTTTTATTTATACGTGAAATGTAAATCATTTACACGCGCAAAACGTTGTGCCAAATTTAACATAGACGTGTGTGGATACAAATGTATCTACACGTTTGTATCCGTATTTGTATCTGGTGCGCGCCATCTGCTGAGCTGTGTGTCGCTTCTTGATTATTCATTTGCATTTGCAATATAAATATCAACACATGCTCAATGCTTACTGCAGTCGCAGTAAAAAGCGGTTGTCGGCATATAAAATTCAACAATTTATTTTGGCGACATTGTGTTTCTGTTTCTCTCCCCTGAGTCATGTGAAAATGTATCTTTATGACTTGTCGATGCAATGCTCAATTGTCGATAGCTAAAGGGTAGGCTCACAGATATTTATAATTGAATTTTATGCGGCCCCGGAGTCTAATTAGGGTGAAGACGTTAGCGATGGCGACACATGTTCGCCCATTGGAGGCCATAAAACGCGGGAAGCGGCATGGAAATGCCAACTCAAAGGGGTTCTTCAGTGCGGTTTTTATTTGATTTAGATTGATCTCTTAAGCCATCCGATGGGGCCTTAGAATGTGGCAACGATTGTAAATGGGCGAGGAAACTGCTTTCATGAGTACTTGGAAGATCACAGGAATTACTGCAATGATAATGGGCAGCGAAGAAGTTTAAGGAGGCTTTCTGTGGGCCTTTGGGGATTTCCAACAATAAATATTTCAGCCAAAAAAATTTTAATGTTGTAAATCCGTGGGAATAAATTTCGGATTTTCTTTCATATAAAGAAATACTTTTCTCTGAATTCCCTTTTGTAAATATAAGATTTAAAAAAGAATCGTGACCAAACTTTGGGTAACAATATTAACTAAAAGATGCAGCAAAAACATTTTTGTATTATAAAAACAAACTTCATAAATGCCACCCACAATAAATTAAACTAATTTAATAATCAGTTAAGAAGATGCACCACTTTAATGTGCACTATATTGAAGAGAAATCGTTGAAGCCATCAACTTATTGGTACCGTTTTATTACCCAGATCACCACAATCTCTTAGCCAACAAAGCAGGAATACCATTTCTCTTGGTCGACCGTCAATTTGCCTATAAACGTCCATAAGCAGAACTCGCAGCTCCATAAATATTAACTGCACGTTGCAACAAAAATGCACTCAAGATCACGTAACAAGCCCACAAATCACAAGCACCACTAATAAACTTTGACATTATTAGTGAAATGACTGAACTACGAAAGGAAAAAATAATTTATAAATTGCCAATGTCAGATAAAGTTTTAATGAACACCGACTTTGGCGGGCCACCAAAGGAGCATTAATTAAAGACCAAAAAGAGAAGCGAACAAAAACACGATCGTAAAATCTATAGAAAGCCGAGCCGAATAACTCCAAAAGCTATGGAGACACCCAGCGACATATAACTCAAATAAAATAAACATTGGCCATAACATAAATATTCGCTGGCTACCTAGCCAACTCCACCTCCATCGTGCTGCATAAAAGATAAACATAAATTTAGCATTTGATAGGGGAGCTGCATTCGGTGGGGACTTTTGGCGGTGCCGAGTGGGTGGAGATGCCCAGCATCTGTGGCCATAAGTCTTGCGTCGTGTGCTCGCCTCTGATGTTTTCCCCCATTTTTGGACGGACTTTTCCTGATGATGTCTCATTTGTTGCCGGCCGACATTTGAAATGACTTCTGACGCTGATGTTGATGCTGATGTTGGGGCTCCGGCTCCTCTCCTCCGGCTGCACCACATTTTGTTGATGCAAATTGCATTTATTGTTAAGCCTCCGACTTCCTGAAAGGCATGTGTTTGCCCTCACAAAGGGGTGATTATTTCGCTAAGGATTGGCAAGAAAAAAGCCACTTTTTGACAAGACTTTTCGCATGTTTGGCATAGCATTTAAGCTGTTAAGACAGCGGATTTCCCTCTTAATGTCAACACATTAGGTATTTGCTTTATTTTCTAAGAAATAATAGATTGGTGTTTGTAATTTCTTCTATATTTGAAAAGCACTTAAATAACACAAAACTTGTGACATATGTTTTAATGTTCATAATAACTATATTATACGAAAAAAAACCTAATTTGTACATAATGGTTCAATAAAACGAACACCAAATCTAAATATTCAAAATTTTTAAATGGCTTTGTATTTCTATTGTTCATTTTATGAATGTTAAATAATTAAAAAAAATAATATCCTATCATTCATATCATTTATAAAGTTGGGTATTAATATATATTATATATAAAGTACTAAGCTTAGCACAGCTTTAAGACAGTAAAATGCTGAATTGCAGATTGTAGTTATATCAAATTTTACTTTTGGAAGAGTATTTAGATTTTCGATGACAAATTCCTTGTCCATTTTCCGTGTTTTTGTTTAACCAACGATAACGCCTCCACATCTCTGCTCGCCTTTGTTTTGGTTTAAGGCACGCGCATCATCTGAAGATGAAAAAGTAGCATTTCCAACGGCAGCCGAGTATTAATGTGGGTCAAATGCCTGGGCCCGCAGATGGGAAAGTGTTTCTTAGGTTTTCCGCCGCTTTTGACGCCTGATTGCTGCTAATTGGCGTCAAAATGGTACGGCCAACGCATCAATGGTTGACTATTTGTTGCCCATTTCGCTTTGTTTGCCTGTTTATCCGGCTGTCTACTGTTTGTCCGCCATTCGTATGCAACTGTTTCATGTTTATCCTACGTTTTCTATGTGGGTTAGGTCAATATGTCTTCCCAGCAGCAGCGAAAAACACACATAAACAAACGGCTAGCAAACATTTTCCATTTTGCCGCAGAGTTGTGAGAGAAATTCTTAAAATATCTCGCACAATGTTGAGTTCCATGTTTTGACAAATGTATGTTTCCAAAATAATTTATTGCACAAGCGTACAACTGAATATAGAAAACCATTAATCATGCAATTTCGACTCGAAACCTGAATGAGAAATTGGAAATTATTCAAAGAACGTTCGAAGTTGTCATACTCTTTAGTTATGTGAGGTACGAGTTTTTCTCAAGTAAAGCACGTTCGTCTCAGTCCCACAACTAATTAAGCAAATCAAGATACAAAAGATGGCTCTCAATAGATAGCCCGATAAATGACTGACTGACTGACTGAGTGACCTCGACAGACATTGACTGACAATCCGACAGCTGATGGCCTGATCTCCTACGATCCGATCTGGACAAATTTGTGTACGGATTGCAATAGAACGCGATTGCCAATCAAATTGGCGGCAGCTCTTGCAACATTATGAGCATCGGTCTGGTTAGTGTATCCATCTCCACCAGCTGCAATTGAATCTATAGATCTCATTCGGATGGATCTACTTTATAGCCTAGATACTTTTAAAAATTATATAGGATTGGTTTCTTAAAAGTAAAGTGATTTTCTTTACAGAATTTTCTTTTTATTGCCTAAATTGAGTGTTCTTACAAATACAAAAATATGAAATTATTTTTTAAGTTTTGATTATAATCTAATAGATTTACAGAAAATTGGAGAATACTTTAATAGCATCCAAATAACGAATACTAACAAAATACTTGACAATGATAAATTATAAATAAGATAAAATATTATGGTTTTTATTAGGGACTTTTATTTTAGAGAGCTACTGTGATTTTCAATTATAAATGTAACAAAAAAAAAATTATTTCTTTCACAAGGAGTAAAAATCTAAACAAATTTAAAGTCCAAAAATCCATTAAATTTGTTACCTTATAAAGCCATTAACCGTATTCCACATGCATGCTCGAGTTTCTCCGGCAATGCCAATGTATATATTCTGCGATTTCAATTTGTCCACGCTGTTTATCGCTTCCACCCACAGTTTCGCTGTTCGGCGATGGCTATGTATCGATGCCGCTGCAGGAGGCCAAGATGTCAACGAACATTCGCGTCAAGTTTCGCACCAGGCAGGAGAACGCCCTCCTCTTCCTGGCCGCCGGACGGACCGACTACTGCCTGCTGCGCTTGGAGAGCGGGATGATCAGTTTCAGCTATAAAATCGAACGGGATGTGGTGCAGGTGAGCCATCGATAGACGCCCCTAACATATGAGTGCAATTACAGCGATTCCGGTTATATTTTAGTTACGCTCGCCCAAAAAGCAAAAGCTCAACGACTTGGAATGGCACGATGTAGCGGTGCAGCGGTTCGAGAACAATATCACCTTGCAGGTGGATGGGTTCATAATGCGCAAACAGCTGCCGGGCGATCTCACCGCTCTGAATATCCATTTCGGTACTTTTCTGGGCGGCGTGGGGGACTTTTCGGCCGCGTTTTTGGATGATGTTATCGGTTTTCGGGGCTGCATATCGGATGTGAGTATATAAACATAGAACTATAAAATACAGATTTTAAAATTACGTAATATTATTGTTATAAAAACTTACAATATTATAACTTATTTTTCAAAAGTGTGCTTTAAAAAAAAAATAAATTAATCATATCTAAGCTCCATTTAAATAAACTTAAACTTGACAGCAGAAGCATAAAATTATGATTTATGTCAAACCCCAAAACAAGAACTGTTCAAATTAATGGAAATCAATTTTCATATTTATAGGTCCTATAATATTAGTATAACTTCAAAATTATTTTTTGGATGGTTTCTTTTTTATTATTATGCATTTAATTATGGTGTTTAGCCAATCATATAAATAAATTGTATTGTTTTTGTTTTCCCCTTTAACCAATTTGACAGGTCTTTTATAACAACATCAACATCATCAAGAGGGCCAAGGACCGCACGAGTCACACCACCAGTACCGGAGTGTCCTGGACTTGCAGCACTGAGTTCGATGGTACGCTGCAGGACAGTATAAGTTTCTTGAAGAACGATTCCTACTCACTGATGCTGAAGGAGTCGCATGCCATTGGGGAAACGTGAGTGCCAGAGGAATAAATCCCCCACTCCAACTATTAAGTATCTAACCATTTATTACAGTCTCTCCTTGCAATTCCGCACAATGGCTAGTGCTGGCGTTATTTTCTTCAACGGCGGCTTTGATTTTATACTGCTCGAAATAGCGGATCAGCGCTTGAAGGTGACCTTCAACAAGGCCGGCAGTCTGGTGCAGTTCATGACAAATGAGCACATCTCCGATGGCAAATGGCATCGGGTTCTGCTGCGATATAATGCTGCCATTGCGGAGCTAATCCTCGACGATGCCACGAGCGGTTATCGGGGAGCTCACGCTAATGAGACCAAGGCGAGCATAAATCTCGAGAAGAGCGTCTTCTTTGGCGGCGTCCAGGAGGAGATGCGCCGCCGGCTCATCGGCAAGGGATTGCGCATAAACGAGATCAGCTTCAAGGGCTGCATGCGGGAAATCCGGGTCAATGATCTTCCACTGGGCTTCGCCGAGATGACCATCTCGCGCAGTCTGGCTCTCAACTGCCTGTGGAAGTATCCCTGTGTGGAGTACAATCCCTGCCTGAAAAGCGGAGTCTGCAGTCAGCACGGAGTGGACGGGTTCATCTGCTACTGCGATCAGTCCTACTGCATCAAGGCCGATTTTCAGGGGCCTTTTAAGGTGAGTACAGCAAGTAATAGTAAAGAGATTTGAAAACTGTCCACAACCAACACACTTATTTTTTTTACAAAAAAAACTACAAAAAAATAATAAGTACTAAGTAAGCAGATATAAAGCAATTTTTAGATTACAATATTCGTACGTAATTTTCAATTTACAAATCTCTATATTATTTCAATGGGAAAAGGTTCATTATATTAAGAATAAGGCCTTAGTAGAATTAGGTTAATGCTAGCAATAGTTTCTTGTGTCATTTCAATTTTCTTTTTCATTACAGATCTTTACCGAAACAAGTCCAGAACTTGAGCTGCTCTATGTCTCTCCCATGCAGCTTTTGGAAGGCGGAACAGCCTTTCTCTCACAACATTTCATAGACATCACACTCGATCTGCGGCGCTATCCCAGCCTTAACGAACAATCCATAATTTTTCATGTTGTACATCAGCCAAAATATGGACAACTTCTGCAATATTCACCTGAAACAGATAACTTTGTGCCCTGTCGCTCATTTAATCTGGTTGATTTGGTCAGAGACAAACTTAAGTACGTGCACAATGGCCAAGAGAACTTTAATGACCATGCCACTTTGGACATGCAGGTCTTTGGAGATGTGCACAAGATACCCGAGAACATATTGGGCAAACACAGGTTCCTATTGCACGCGAACATAACACCCATTAACGATCCGCCACAATTGAAATTGCATTCGCATAAAATCCTGCGAGTGATCGAAGGAATTGAAAGGGTGCTAGATGTGGATTTATTTAACATTGACGATCCAGATAGCGAACCTGGAAATTTGATCTACACTATATTGCCTACACAAAATCCTCGGGAGACCTTTGGTTGTTTTATGGTCGGAGGTGTGACCACATCAACCTTTTCCCAGGCGGATGTGAATGTGGGAAAAGTATCGTATCTGTACAACTCCACAACAACGGAATCTTTCAGCTATCAACTGCAGCTACAAGTATCCGATGGCATCGAGACGAGTGATACGGATTATCTGCCAGTTTCAGTGCATCCTCTTGAGCTGCGATTGGTCAATAACACGGGTCTGATAATGATCCACAAGAGCTCTTTACCGTTGAGCCCAGCAAATCTGTCGATTGGCACCAATGCCGTGGATGAGCACATCGACATTAGGTACGATATTGTGAAGGCACCGCAGCATGGAGTTCTCCAACGGCTGAGGCAGATTGATGGCTCCTGGGTAAACGTGGACTGGTTCAGCGATAGCCAGCTGCTGCTGGGCCACATTCGCTATCTGCACAGCAGCGATTTCCCTTGGCAAGACGAATTCAAGGTGTGTATCGTAAAAAACCAAACACGAGTTAGGCCATAAATGGGCAGGGAGCCAACACTAACTTGCATGTTTTGGGGAGCAGTCAATTTTCGGCAACCACTAAACCTTAACCGACTCCGAACTTTCTCTGGAGTTTTTCAATTTCACGGAAATCCATCACTCGTCATTGTTTTGTTCACCCAAATTCTTCTTGTCCAATAATTTTTACTTGACTTTTAGGACATTTTATTTATTTTAAACTAGCGGTTGACACGTTCCTTTATAAAAGAGCTCTGCCGGCGAGTTTTTACATATGGGTCATTCCTTTACAAACTTATCTGGTAAAAAAAATTGTTTGATTTGCTTGAAACTTTGTTTTTACTATTCCGTAAATAAAAAGAAACGTATATCAGGATTTCGAAAGAAAAAAATTTTTTTTTGATATTGAAAAGTTTTGAAAAAGTTTATAAAAACCGTCTTAATGAAGAAGCTCTACATCTGAGGTTATAAGGAAGAAACCTACCTAATTTCTTTCAAGTCATTTCCAAACCATTTTTTTATTCTACAAATTTGACTTTATAAAAGGTGTTCGGCTTGTAAAGTAATGACCCACATACAATGTCAGTCTTGTGCAAATGACTCAAATAAATGGGGGCCCACATGTCATCGTTAATTATCCTGTTCCCAATTAATAATAGTAATATTAATATTCATTGTTGAATCCTTTACAAACCTTACACTTCATACTCCTCTGATATGTTTTGCTGACCAGTGTAGCCAATAAATTTGCATTTATTTCACTTTCACAGTTTATTGCCTCGTTTGGCTTTGTGACCACGCAAACGTTCGACTTCCGCATCACATTCACGCGCCTGCGCATAACGAGCACCAGACCCTCGCAGATCTCGATCAATGGCAGCCGGGAGATTCTGCTGACCAGCGATATACTCTCGTATGAGACCGCGCCCATCGGGAGTTTTCCGCGCAGCGTGATCTACAAGATAACGAAGCCGACTCGCTACGGGGGCATCTATGTGGAGGGATCTAGGAAGGCGGCCAAGCAGTTGGACTCCTTCACCCAACAGGACATAGAGAAGCGAAGAATTCGATATCAAACGCACCACACCAGCTACTCCAGCTTCACCGATCAGCTGGAATTTGTGGTTTCCGTTGCGGAATGCGATGATGTGATGGGCACTCTGGAGATTAACTACCGACCGCCCGAGGAGCTAATCAACAAGCTGGGCTATCAAAGTCACGAGGCACTGCAGGTTCAGGAGGGAGAAAGAGCTCTCATCACCAAGAATCACTTTGAGATACGATTCAACATCTTTGAGAGCCTGCAGTTTCAGGTTTCCACGAGTCCAGAACATGGTGTTATATGCAAGTACGATGAGCAGACGGGTCTTACAGTGCCCGTGGAAATGTTTACCCTGGACCAACTGTTTCGAAACGATATATACTACTGCCACGATGATACGGAATCCACCAGGGACACCTTCGAGTTGCTCATACTCTCAGGGGACGATACAGATCTTCAGTTCGTCTCCAATATGGAAGTTAACATTAAGCTGGTAAACGACAATGAACCCTATCGCACTGGCATTGAGCGAGTTTTCCATGTGGTGAGAAATGGCATCAGGACCCTCAATCCTGCAGTGCTGCAGTATCTGGACGCGGATGTTAATACCAACCACACTGATATTCACTACATCCATGTATCCAGCACCAATGGAGCTTTCTACAAGAGTGGTCACTATGTAGACAGCTTCACTCAGGATGATATAGCGAACAGGAGGATCATGTTCCAGCATACAGGTGCTGATTCCGGAACGGCTTCCTTTATAGTCACCGATCGCGAGTATGAGGTCAATGGTTTGCTGGAGATCAGTGCCTCTGATCCCTTTGTCTCCATGATGGCTACGAATGCCTCCATTGTTCAGGAGAGTAAATTTGTCGTGCTCAAGAACAAAGATTTTATTTTGGAAACCAATTTGGATATGAAACTGGATGAAATTTACTACGAAATTATCAAGCCCCCCTCGTATGGCATTCTCATGTATTTGAGTAAGGCCAATGAGGGCGAGAATGGAACTACCATCTATAAGGCCACAAATTATACTTCCTTGAGCAATTTTACTCATTTGGATATTGAGCGGGAGAGACTGGTCTACTGGAACACAGAAATCGCCTCGATGGATAAAGTTAGGTAATAACCTTTTAATTACAAAATTATTTCAGACTGTTCTTAATATATGTTTCTTGCATCTACAGATATCGGGTGCACATTAAAAACATAACAGCTGAGGGAGAGGTCATGTTCCGGATATATCCTTCTGCATACTGGGAGCCCTTGCAAGTGAAACAGAACCACACACTTTATGTGGAGGAATCCACCAGTGTACTTATCTCCAGGGATGTTTTAGAGGTGGATTACTTGTTTTCAAACACTAGTAAATCGCTCATCGAAAATTAATTCCTCTTTCTAGGTGGTTCATCTCAATATTTCGCCAGGGGACATAACCTTTTTAGTGACATCCTCACCCATGCATGGCTATCTGGAAATGCAGTCCATGTCCTTTGATGACGAATACAACTGCAAAGTGTTCGATCAGTCTTCAGTGAATACTGAAAAGATGTTCTATATACAAGCAGGAGTCAACCAATCCACAGACTACTTTGTCTTCGATGTTACCAATGGCATTACTTGGCTCAGACAACTGACAATGAAGATCGTCATCATACCAGAAAAGCTTTACATGCACTCGAATATTATTTCAGTGGTAGAGGGAAAAACTGTGCAACTAAATCCTACGGATATACAGCCCTATTCAGAGTACTATCGGGGGAAAATACTGGAGTACATAGTGACCATTACACCGAATTCCGGTCACATATTGGCTGGCAGTTCCAAAGTCAAGAGGTTTACCCAAAAACAATTCGAACAGGGTAACATACAATACGTCCACAATGGCAGCGAAAATGCCACCGATAGCATCACTTTGGTGGCCATGGCCAGGAACAAGGAGAGTGTTCCCTTCGAGCTGGAATTCGCTGTGGTTCCAGTTAATGATGAGGAGCCCATGATAGTCACCAATACAGGATTGCAGGTATGGAATGGAGGACGCTACGTGATCAGGAATACCGATCTGTGTAAGTACTCAAACTTTAAATTGATTTAAAAATATAGGTCGAATGATTTAAACCCAGTTCCAAGCTAATTATACATTTTTTCATATTTTTCAGTGGCTCGCGATTACGACACTCCACCGGAGAATCTCACCTTTATTGTGAACCACATATATGGTGGTTTTTTGGCAAGGAAATCCGCACCGCAGCACAAAATCGAACAGTTCACCCAGGCCCAAATAAACCAGGAAGAAATATATTTCATGCAGGATTCCAGCTCCAGGAGAAATGAATTATCGTTTGTGGTTACAGATGGTTTATTTAACACCACCACTCAGATGCTTAATATCGAGATTAAGCCCATTGAAATTCTGGCTGAGCACAATGAAAATCTGCATGTTTTCCCTTTGACAAAAAAACAAATTCTACGCGATCATCTACACTTTAAATGTTCCGATGAGGAGCGGGAAATTCGCTACAACATTACAGTTCCTCCAAGTCTGGGTCGCATAGTGAATGAATTTATTGATAATGGTTTTACAAAAGAAGTCAGCGAATTCACCCAAAACGATGTCGATAATGGTCATATATTCTATGAGCACACAGCTGTTATCATGGAATTCAGGATCAATGATTCATTTTACTTCGATGTGGTGGCTGAAAGAAGTGATCGTTTATTGGATCAAAAATTCAACATAGAGATATCGGTTTCTTCTGGGGGCTTACTAAGATTCCTACCCGTGAATAAGCTAAACGTAGATGAAGGAGGATCGGTGCCTATAAAGCTGGATTTCTCGAAGATTTTGGAGTACCTCAAAACCAAAGCTGGCATAAATAATCCAGAGTTGTTTATAGAGGCTGTACAAAAACCAGCCCATGGCAACATAGGTCTGGGTCATGAATTCAAGCACATGCAGAAATATCACCCAAGTGATTTCTTTACAAAGAAGGTATACTACATACACGATCATTCGGATACTTTGGAGGATACCATACTGATGTCAGTTTACCTAACTCAAGGGTGAGTTTTCTATATTCTCCAAAATTAAATAAACAGATATTGTAATTTGATATGTGTTTCCATTATTTTGTAGGAACATTTTCCTTTGCAATTTGACGATACCTGTGTCTATTAATCCCATCAACGATCAACCCTTCCATTTGATCACCCACTTGCCCCAAATGACTGTTGTCGAGGGTGAAAATCGTACAATAACGAGAAATGATTTGCTCACCGAAGATGCGGATACACCACCAGAGGAGATTGTATACGATGTGATGAGCGGTCCCACTTTGGGAGTGCTCAAAAAGATCACAAACGATGGGCGAACCGAGGATCTCTTGGCTTTCTCAAATCAATTTACCCAAGCGGATATAAACAACGATCGCATAATATATGTGCACTTTGGCATACCGCAGTCCACGACATTTTGCTTCACTGTATCCGATGGACAATTCAATGCTGCCTACGAAATATTTACTATCAAAATAGCTCCTATAAGTCTGCAACCATCAGCAATTCAAATTCCAGTGAGAGTTCAACAAGGAGCTAATAGTGCTCCAATGAAACTGGATCAAATAGGAATGTCTACCAATGTTCAATTGGAGAGGTTATCCTATAACATCACAAACTCACCGCTATTCGGGATTATAGTTTTCAAGCATCAGCCAACTTTGAGATTTACCCAACACCAGTTGGAAACATCGCAGATTAGTTATATGCAAACCGATTTGAATCGATCGAATGACTCCTTCCAGGTGAGTGCCTATGTGCCGGGAACCAATTATGCGGCTCAAGTGGATGTTGTGATGGAGGTTGAGCCTGTAATTCAAATCAATAATATAGTGATGAAAGAAGCTGATTCGGTGGGAGGTAAAATAAAGCTCATCACCTCTTTGGACAACGATAATCCACTTTCTCTGAAGCTCAATAAATTTAATCCCAAGTTTGTGATCACAAGGATGCCTTCAACTGGCCAAATCAGGAAGATAATCCGAAGTACTGGTCTGACGACCGATGGCCAGAATGAGAGATCCACGAATCTATTCTCCTACAAAGAGCTGCGAAGTGGTGTTGTCTACTTTGTGCCCCATGAATCTGTAGACGAAACGGAGGCGGATAATGATAGTTTTGATTATCAACTGCTTATAAAGACAGTACAGCCTGCACAGGCAACTGTATCGATTGAATATAGAAGTAGGGTCGAGGAAACGGAGACCGTTCACTTGGGAAATGCCGGTTTATCTATTAACTATCTAGCCATAGGATGTGCCATATTTATAGTGCTGATCTGTCTGCTAATCGTGCTGTTGATATTGAAAATCAGAAAGCTGAGAAAGCACAAGGCCGATATATCCAAGGATCAGCCGCCTGCGCTGCCTTGTCCACCGGACTTGACATCCGTGAGTCCGCAGCACCACCTGCACCACCATCATAGCCATCATTATGCAAGTTCCGAGGCGGATTCGGTGCCGGCAACTGGAAACTCGACACCATTACCCGGCTTCAGTAATATTCCTCATTGCAAGATCATACCCGTGGAGTCGTATAAGCACGAGTTTCCCGACTACGATCCCGACGAGGAGGAGACTGACGATCAGTGCGATCCGCAGCAGATGATGCTGCCGCAGCGATATAATCCCTATCATCTGGAACACGATGCCTGGAGCTCGTCCTGCGATATGGCGAATGATTTTGCGGGCTATGCCTCCGTGCCGCAAAGTATTTCCGGATCGGTCAGTTCTCCGCCCTCGGCCCCGCCCACAAATCCACTGCTAAGGCGGAATCAGTATTGGGTGTGAGGTAGATGGCCGGAAAAGCTTGAAAAAAGGGATCCAAATTTCAAAACCGGGAGAAGTTTTTAAATTTGTATTGCAATTAGTCCTAGATTATTTATTTAAGTCTAAGCTTACGTTTAAGGCTGATTTATGAGATTCGTAAGGAAAAGTGAAGCATTTCATACACAAACAAATTAATAATAGTATGTAAACAAACATACATACATATCTGACGTGTCATATACAAACGATTAGCAGTAAGGACGAAAACAAGAGTTATACTCAAAAAGCCAACTTAACTTAGCCTTAGCATTGTGTTTGCCAACATGGACAACTTTTTACAATAAATGACAATAATTTTAAGCGTACTTTCGTTGTTTTATTTAACAATTTTAATTTTTTCCAGTTATTACCTATTCTATTGGACAGGACAAAAATCATTGGGGTTAGTAATCAAACTGCAAACGATAGTGAGTAGCTTGAATCATAAATTCTTGTTAACAATCAAAAAATTTTTATCAATGCAGAACATATTATGAACCAGAAAATCTTTCTAATTTTATAATGTTAATCTTGGTTGTTAGATTTTTTTTGACATTTTAATGAATTGCTGAAAATATTTTTTTTAACAACTTTGCCCAGATGACATTTTTAATATACATAAAAACTTATTTAGATAATATTTATTTCATAAAAGTTCTAAGATCTCAATAGTTACAGTTTGTACATAGTTGTCTTTTAAGAAAAACGTTTTTTTCAAGTAAAACAAGAGAGAACGCTATAGTCGAGTGCCTCGACTATTAGATACCCGTTACTCAGCTAAACAACTTAATATAAATATGCCTTCTTGTATGTTTTTCGCCGCTCGAATTAGCACCTTGGCCAGCTGTTCCAAAGTCATCCGTTAGATGGCGCTACGGGCCATGAAAGGCGGAAATGTAGGCGCTAGCCAGGCTTAAGCGTTTAATGGGTTTTTGGGCGTTAGAGTGGGCGTGGCAAACTTTTATTAGGCCAATCGATAGGTATTGACGAAATAAATACATATCAATTAAAAATTTCATAATAGCATCAAAACTGTGGCCACAGCTTGTGGCTTGTGGGCGTCAGAGGGGGCGTGGCACCATTTTGAAACAAACTTGCGCTGCGTAGGAACTCCTAAAATCTACATGCAAAATGCCAATCTTCTAGCTTTTATAGTTTCCGAGATCTCAGCGTTCATACGGACAGACAGACGGACAGACAGACGGACAGACAGACGGACAGACGGACAGACGGACATGGCTAGATCGACTCGGCTAGTGATCCTGAACAAGAATATATATACTTTATAGGGTCGGAAACGCTTCCTTCTAGCTGTTACATACTTTTGCACGAATACAATATACCCTTTTACTCTACGAGTAACGGGTATAATAATTGAAATTATTTATTATTGTCAGCCCGCACGCTACGAGACTGCGTTTTGCGAACCATTTTATTTAGTATATTTCGCGCTGATAAGACTGAGGAAGCGAAAAAAATTTCATTCATAAATCATTTTAAATTAAGTTTGGAGCAAGTGGAAATATTCGGCGATTCTAATGTGACATTTAACGTGACTAAATGTCAACTTATCGTTTGGATGTGTTTCTTATATTAGTAATGCATTTTATACAGATTGTAGTTACTTAAGTATTTCATGCCGCAGTGGTTTTCATATAAAAATACAAGATAAATGATACTTATAACCACGATTAAAGATATACAAATATATACTGATACGTATATAAATTAAGCTTACAAACTAGACAAGTTATTGTGTATTAAATATCAAAAGAAGAGTTTTTACCTAATAATTTACCAGGATATCACTAGTTTCAATGTGGTGCACATTTTGCTTTCGCTGGACTGATTTAAGTTAAAGAGTTTGTTTTTAAGTACATGGCTTTAGAAAGCGGGCACAACTGTCGCCGTTGAGGGTTTCTCATTAATCGGCGTTACGACCATAGCCTGATTATCGTATCCATATCCGATCTCCGTCATAACCGTGGTGGGCGTGGTGCTGTTTTCCGCCGGATAGCGAGTGCTCACCGGCGTCGTCATGGTCACAACGGAACCCTCGGCGGCACCTGCAATAAATCATGGCTATTATAATACGAACTATTTGCAGAAGACAGGGCAGTCAGGTAGATCCTTACACTTACCTGCCACACTGTAGATCTGCGATTGCGCCCGTTCAAGGTCTCTGCCATGCCGATTGATGGCACTCAGATTCTGTATGGTGGTGGCATTGAGGTCCTTTCCATTCGCAGTCACTGGATGCGGAAAGGCCTTCGCTTGCAACCGACGTAACTGTTTCTGGACGCATCGGTTGCACATCAGAAATCGAAGGCACTGGAACGCAAAACGAACGGCGATCAGGACGAGAAGGATGGTCAGCAGCAGAAGGATGAGATGCTGGGTTTTCTGGATGTCCAGCACCTCCGCCTTAAGAGGCACAAACAACTTGAAAGCTAAAGGGTGTGAAAATGGATTAGTTAGTTTAATTTATAAGATAAAAACTAAAGATCAAAATTTTATTTGCATATTTTAAAACATACATATTTTAAAAGCAATTCAATTGATATTTATTAGTTTTCGAGTAAGTCTTCTTTAATGCCGTAAAATATTTTAATTTATAAAAAACCAAACAAAGTAAAAATACTTTTTGCATGACACTTTTTTACCCACTTTTAACACACTCTCATTAGATAAATGCAATTGTTTATCAGTGAATGAGCGTAAAGATTAGCTGACCCTATCTTAATAAATATGGTCATGAAGCTACATATTTGCTTTGATAAGGCGATGAGTTTTTAAGTTTCAGCTTTTTTAAAAATCTTACTTTGACTGCAAATAAAATACGCAGTGCCAATTCTAGCGAATCAATTTAAATATATTCTATAGATATTGGAAGTACTTAGTATCTTTTTTAACAACTCATTGAAGATGAGTTAACCGCCTGCTTCAACGAATTGAATCCGGCTGGAAATACCTGTACATACGTTAAAGTTTCCAAATTACCCTATGGATCGTGAGAATGTCTGAGGTAATCGGTGGGGAAGCTATGGGTTATACTTGCCGGAACAGTGCATGTCGCACAAGTTGACATCGTAGTTGTGAGTTGTGTTATCGCAGACCCAACTGCACGGCTGACAGGCCTCCGAGACGGCGTTGCAATATTCGGTCACCGGATGGCAGGTCCCTCCATTGCAATCCTTTGCCGCTGCTACCAAGGAAAAACTTGGTATCAACGGAAGGCCGCCAATGGAGACCGAAACGGCACGCATTCTTCTGACCGACATTAGAGTTTTTATTGTTATATTTATTCACTGGTTTATAGGTGTTTTGCGTGTGATTTCCGTTGTGGCTGATTACAGTTTACATAAGCACTGGTATAACTTTTTTTGTTATTTTTAAACGTTTTCGAAGTATGATTCATATGCCAATAACGCAACCGAGACGCCAACTGACTAACTTCTCTTTTAATTGTTGGCTTCTGGAGTCTGAGTATTTGTTGTTGCCCTTATATACATACACATGTGTGTATTGGTGCAAACGAGTTTATCTCTGCCAAGTTTTACAGCATTTTTTCTAAGATTCCTTGTTATTTTGCCACATTATTACATGCGTTTTTTTTGAATTTACGAACACTCAATATTCATATAAATTTATGTAATTTTTACACCAAAAAATGTGAGTTTTCTCCGTTTTTAAATTATAGACGTCGCTGCTTAGTGATTTTCGAAGCGCTTTGAGCCACAACCAACTCGTTACTGGCTAAAAATGTCTCGATCGCTCGCTGTTACCAACCACTCAGCGCTCAAACAATAGCACTGGCCTCAAATACACTCGTATCCACATTGAGTCTTGACTTTTGTTTACCTTTTTTCACGTCGATTGTAGATGCGAAAGTATCTCTCTATCCATGCTGCAGCAGGTAAACCAAGTGTTTGTCTATCTGCGATAGACTGTTGATTTTCTGTTTTGAGTGAAATACTTCCCGACTTCGGAACACTTTGAACCCGGCTTCAGTTGCTTCATTCTCAGCAGCACTTGGACTTATGAAATTAAAGATCAACCAGAAGTATCTCAGGGGCGCAAGCCAAATAAATACTGGATTAGGTTTCACTCACTCAGCTGTTGTCGTCGCTGATTATAGTTTTGTAAACATGAATTTAATTTGCATTCAGTCAAAAAATATCTAGAACTTCTGATATCGCATTATATAAAAAATAAAAAAATAAAAATTTGCAAGCAAGAAAATTAGATTGCCTCGTCTATAAAATGCCCACTAATGACTCGTATATTTATATATTTAGAATTTTTATATTCCCTCTTGAAATAGGTACCACAATGTTATTTGTTTTAAAATTAGTTAAAGTAAATTTGTTATAATAAAAATATTTTTATCTTAATTTGATATTAAAGTAAACTTAAAAAGATTTTATTATGAATTAATTTATTAATAATAATACAAATTTAATTTGTTTAAGTGGTGAGATTTTGTTTCTCTTTTAAAAAATAATATGTAAGCCCTACCAATTTATACTACATTTTTTTTTGTGTCGATTTTGGATGGGGTTGCAGCCTTGCTAAATTTATGTTTGGGTATGTGTCTTTGGTAAACTGTCAATTGAATGGCAGCACTGAAGACGATATTAATTATATATAGAAATTCTTTTTCAATCCGTCAGTTGTAAAGAAGAGATAGAAATAAAGTAAAACAAACATTAAATCATATGTAATGGGTATACATCTATAAATAATTGTTTTATTAAACACATTTCGTACATAATTTTGAATTACTCTGGAAACTTGGCAGCACTCTTTCCTCTCATCGTTTCCAGGCCTTCCAAGCGCTCTCTTTTGCTCTCTTTCTCTCTCCCTCCCTCCGCACTTATCTTATGCTCATTTCCATTGCAGTGCCGCTTTTGAGATACTTTTGTATCTTTGCATCTTCCAGTTCCAGCACCGCTTGCAGTGTTATGTTATTGTGGCTTCCAGTTCGCTGGACTGGATGGCCAAGTCAAACATCCATTCCATTCGCTGAGCGGCTTTCGCTGTTGAATGAGCTGTTTAGCTAGTTTTCGTGGAACGGCCGCCGGTTCGTTTCGTCGCGTATCTTTGAGATACAAAAATTAAAATCGAATCGAGTCTATATTGCAGCTGTCGTTGCGCGCGTGTTGTCGATGAAAATTGTGGAATTATAACAATTATTTCTCGAGTGGAAGTGTGAAAGTGAAATAGTCGCGCCTAGAGCGACGCAATTAGATGAAAATATAGTTTACTCACGCTCTGTATATTTCTATCTTTTGTGCGAGCGCGCTTCAACAAGTAAACCAAAATTAAAAAAACCACTGGAGTGGAAGGCGCGTCCTTGAGCTCCCTATTTAAGCACACCTGTTTTGGAACGAGATACATATTCAATTGCGATTTGAGCCACCGAAAGGGACAGCCAGCATCAGTTAGAAAGAGAGGGCAAGCGAGCGGTGGAGAGAGATGAATAATTTCACAACCACAACAGCAGCCGCACCACCAAAGGAAGCGCTGCCCCGATCAGGACATGTTAATGAGGGTAAGCATGGGTTAAGAACCGAACCGAACAGAACCGAACCAAACCATTTCGAAATTGGTTGAACATGAACAATTTTGTACGGGGCCTTGGATAATTGGAAATTGATTGGGTTTGAGTGGGGCTATCGAGATGAGGAGTCAGGGGCAGGGGCACGAGCACCACATAGAAGTGATTAATTTAAGGCCTTTAGAATTCCCTCGTCGGTTTCTACCCTCTTATTTAACTCCCCTGGAATTTCATCGACTAAATTCCCTCTCTTTTGATCACATTAATAGTCGAGGAACCTTTTTTTTGCATTAGAATTCTTTAAGAAGCTATGTTTCTTTGTTTCTTCAGGAGTTCCTAACTTTTGGCCATCTTAAAGAAATTAAAATTGTTCTTTATATTATATTATTTGGGAACTCTTTATTTCAATTGGCAACAAATTTCTTTGAAAACTAGATTCTTTTGTTTTTAAAATTTCTTTGTTGTGACCATCTTAACCTGATGAAAAATTTTCTTTCTTCCATTCACAATTCAGCGCGATAATAAAAAGGAGAAGTATTTCTTAAAATCTTTAACTGATTTCTTTATGACAAATGATATTTAAATATTGTTCCAAATGAAAAATATGAATTTAAGTAAAAGTTTAAATATTTAAGATTAATGCAATATATAATACGTTTATAATATAAATATAATTATAATTATATAAATATAATTTTACACACAAATATTTATATAGTTTATATATAACAGATAAACTGTGTCTTATGTATTTTGATGAATAGTTTTTATTATATATTTTTTATAGCTTTAGAGAAGGCAAATTTATAGTTTGTTTATATTTACAAAATGCTAAGAAAACATTTCCTATATTTCTACATCGTCTTTGAAGAACTTATTAATAAAATGATTCTTGGGTATAGGAAACCCCAATAATTCCACCAATCTGATATCTTTGAATGCCGACATAAGCCAAAACAAACATTAAAGTTCCCAGAACTTCTTGAGTGTCATATGTATACGCCTTGGGGTTTGAGTTGTAAGCTATTTTTTTGTTGATTCAGATGTAAACAAACCGCAGAGCACGTTTCCTTCTTATCGCTTGCGACTTACGACCTTATATAATAATCAAAACATTTGCATAGAAAAATGTTACAGCATGAAAAGCTCATTCACCACACTGAATAAGCTCAATTAATTGAAATACGAATACGAAATGCTCGATGACAAAAAAATGGCGGTTGTGCAAATCGCCTGGGACACTACATAGTATTTGTTGTTATGCTAATGAAAAAGATTGCCCAAAAGAAGAAAAAATAATTCACAGAAAACACGAGCTAAAAAACTTTCTCGGCGTTCAGTCACAATCGCAAGAAGTTAGCGAGTTCCCTATTATTTTTTTTTTGGGGTTTTGAAAGTCTTTATGAGACGATAACAAAAACAAAGACCACCAGTCAGCAACTGAGGCAACCGCACAGTTCAGACCAACGACCGAAAAGCGGACAAAGCTGTGAAGAAGAAATTTCAGTTAAAAAACAAGAAAGAAAAGCTAACTTCGGGCGGAGCCGAAGTTGATATACCCTTGCAGAATATTGTGTAAATTATATTCTCCAAAATTATTCATATGATGCAATCTTAATACTTATAAAAAATCCCAACTTCCTAACTTTAAAAACACCAAAGTTATGGCATTTCCAATCGTTCAGTTATATGGCAGCTATAGGATATAGTCGGCCGATCCTTATGAAATTTAATAGGTTGGATTGATTGGTTAAAAATAGAACCCATAGAAAATCCCAACTTCCTAACTTAACAAAAACCAAAGTTGTGGCATTTCCAATCGTTCAGTTATATGGCAGCTATAGGATATAGTCGGCCGATCCTTATGAAATTTAATAGGTTGGATTGATTGGTTAAAAATAGAACCCATAGAAAATCCCAACTTCCTAACTTAACAAAAACCAAAGTTGTGGCATTTCTGATCAATCAGTTATATGGTGGCTATAGGATATAGTCGGCCGATCCTTATGAAATTTGGTAGGTCGGATTGATAGGCCAAATATAAAACCCATATAAAATCCCAACTTCCTAACTTCACAAACACCAAAGTTATGGCATTTCCGATCAATCAGTTATATGGCAGCTATAGGATATAGTCGGCCGATCCTTATGAAACTTGGTAGGTCGGATTGGGTGGCCAAATATAAAACCCATATAAAATTCCAGCTTCCTAACTTAACAAACAGCAGAGTTATGGCATTTCCGATCAATCAGTTATATGGCAGCTATAGGATATAGTCGGCCGATCCCGGCCGTTCCGACTTATATACTGCGTGCAAAGGAAAGAAGGGTGTGTGCAAAGTTTCAATTCGATATCTTTAAAACTGAGAGACTAGTTCGCGTAGAAACAGACAGACGGACAGACAGACGGACAGACGGACAGACGGACAGACGGACAGACGGACAGACGGACATGGCTATATCAACTCAGGAGGTGATCCTGATCAAGAATATATATACTTTATAGGGTCGGAGATGTCTCCTTCACTGCGTTGCACACTTTTGACCAAAATTATAATACCCTCTGCAAGGGTATAATAAACAAACACCGAGCTCTTATATAGTTTTCTTTCAGAGCAATCGAGGGGAAGCCAGGCGATCCCCGCTACAGAAAGGGAAAATATACAGTGTATTTTTTTCTTTTTGGAGGTGCAAAAAATGATTGCCGCTAGCACTTTCCATTTAATAGTTACACTGATCAAAAATCGTATAAAAATCTTTTCTCCACTTCTCTGTTTTCTGTGAAACTTTAAGGGTAAATAGAACACAAAATATCGCTTATTTAAAACACATTTGAATTCATACAAATGATATATTAGCTTGTAATCCAGAAACATTTATTAATTTGTTTTAAAATATTTGGGAAAAAATGTTTTTCACCTTAACTTTAAATTTTATATTTTTTCTCAGCTTAAAATTTTAAATATCTAAAAGTTGTAAGTTAAGGAGAACACAAGATTTCGATAATTTATAAAATGTGCTTTGTTATATTCTACTTTGTGAAATTTAACTTATAGAACTACTAAATTTAAAATATATTTTCGTTTTATTAGTAATTTCATAATGATTCTGAATTAGCCACTATATTCATTAACGAATGTATCCAATTCCTAACCGATTTCGCTGAGATTTCTTAGCAGTGCAGAGATGCAAAAAAGCTGGTTCCGAGCATTTGTATCTTAAAGATACAGCGCGTGCAGCAGGCAACAGCTGACGGTTAGCCGAGGGGATTGCAGCCGCTTCATTTGCGCCCAAGCACGCATGACAAAAGACCCCCACAAAGAGTCGGCCCTCGGTTTGAAATAGCCGTGCCTCCAACTGAAACTCACTCAACTGCTGGCCTCTTTTTTTTTTGCCAGCCAGCCTGACTGACAAGTGAAGGGGTTTATTTCAAGGGGGGAGGGGGTTTGAGGGGTGCTGCAGCCCCAGCAGCAACAGAAACAGCAGCAGTTGCATGACGAGCCGCCTGAATGCAGTTTATTTCTTTCCTTGCATGCCAGGAATGATTCACTTGCCACGATGACAGGATGTGCGAGTGCCAGGAAAGAGGTCTTCTCCATTTGGATTTGGCTCTTAACATTTCTATGGGGATAGCACTTAAAGGAAACTCAAGCCCCACTCTTTTCCTCCACTCGTAAGACCGCTTTGTCATGACTGGCCTATAAAACAACTTTTCAACATGTCCAAATAATGGAGTTCTTAAGGAGTTGGGCTATCCACCTCAAGTGATGGTGTTTACAAATGAAAGTCCAAATAAACTGAAAAGTTCTATGCTTAAAATTGCACTACATTTTTTTAGAACACAAAATTAGGTAATGTTAAGAGTACTTATGGTTTTATTATCCACTCGAGACCATTGCACTTCACAAAATTAAGAGTTTATGATCTAATAAACAAACTTGTTTACTGTTTATAACTATTGACAATGCTATACCGACATTAGTAAATAAATAAAAATTGATATTTAAGAACCCAAACGAATCGATTTCAAGGTGAAGTCAGCCTAATGAGCCTATTTCCTCTTTTCAAAATCAGAGAAAGTTTGCCTGTCTTAATTCATAAGTATCGTAGCATGAAACAGAAATTAAGCTAATTTTTGAGCTTCGTTTTGATGGCACAACACTCGAATAGACAATTATTGGCCTTTCTGTTTTGGATACACATAACTTTGTTTTGAGTACCTGCCTGAGAGGCCATTCAATCAATCAACGGAAACCGAAACCGAACCTGAACTGTGAGTTCATTTGAATGAAATAAATTCGAGATGATGCAGCCTGGCTAAGGTCAATGTAAGGCTGGCTAAATATACTGATGCCGCGGCGAGTGTGTATCCGTATCTGTATCTGTCAGATGCAACATTCAAATAGTCGACATTGCGGGCCGCATTTCTCGTCCAGTGGCAGTGGCATGTTCAACAACCTTGAGTCAGGTTTTTCCACTTTCGGCGCCGCGTCTTTTGCAGCCGAAGACTGCTGCAGTTGCAGTCGTCAAGCGTCAACAACATTTTTTCCCGCCGCACACACATATTTTCCTGGATTTTGTTGGGGGCTCTCTCATAAATTTTCCCGTCAAACTGCTTTCTAATTTTGGCTTTCCACACTTGTTTATAGTTTTTTTATGCATATATACATGGGCTTATATATTCATTACCATCTCGGGTTGTGTAACTCTTCACGCGATCGGCGGGCCATTCATGCGTGTTCAGCCATCTGAACTTGGCTGCCAATCAGGGAGAATGAATCGGAGAAATGGGCGAAAATCCGGGCTGAAAGTAAAATAGTGAAGCCCTGCAAATGCAAAAAGGCCCAGACAAAAACACTGTGAACTGTAAATCGACTGGCCAGCAAGGTTAATTGAATGTGGCAGGTAAATTTGTAAAGGTTGCAGTGCAAACAGTTTGGCCAAATTGAGCCTCGGCAGCTAAACAATTGTTGCTGCACATAAATAATTAAGTGCCCCATTTAACTTGGTTCATCGGAAGGAGAAATAAACCACTTGTTTAATCTTAATTACATTTACATTTGGCTTACAGCAGTTCTAATTTGATATTACCTAAATTTGTGAACATTAGGAGCTATAAATAAATAAATATCATACCTATATCCTATTGACCTTCCTTTGTTAAATCTATTTAAACATGAATTAAATTCATAAGTATGTATGGTACCAGAATTTAAATAAAGATATCATTTATAAATTCCCATCATTTTCGTACTAAAATATAAAAATATATTTTTATAATATTGATTGAGTTTGTAAGTTAAACAAATTTTTTTCTGAGTAGGTAATATTTCCGCACTTACAATTATAGATCCGTTGATCACCTTTTTATTGTTTTATGATGCTTTCCAAAATTAATAAATTCTTTTAACTCAGATGAAACGTAACCAAACCATTTCTAAGCAAATATTTCGCTACTTATTTGGACATCAACGATTCTTTAGAATTTCAAAGTCAAACAAAAGGCCCGTATACACAGCTTTCAATCAACCTTTGCTCAGCTGATTTCTTTTGAAATCTCCCTCCCCCACCTGCTTTCGCCCCCCGTGGAGAGAATTCTTCAGAAACCTAAAGATCCATGAATCATGCATTTGCTGACTTACTAACCCGTTCTCGGTTCGCCGTTTTTTGGTCAAGTCGATAAAATGCTTTTGGTGACCCACATTGCACCACCCATTGTAGTGTGAATTTTCGGGGCAGCAAAGGTTACCCTGTTTCTTTTTTGGCAAAAACCCGTTCCAGGGCCAGTTAAATATTTTATTTCCCCCATATGGACTACCGCAATAAGTCAGCTGTCACCGACGGAACAGGAAATCGAAAGAATTTCAAATTTGTCGTGTGACTTTATAGCAACTGGCAATTTCGAATGGCACTAGCAATAATTTTCCTAGCCTTATATGCTGCACGACTTTAATGCCTCGGTCATTTCCTCTCTTTCTCAAAAAAAGGAACATTATTTAACGGCTAGCGTATGGAGTACAGTAAGTCAATTTCAGCACAGGTTTCCTTTGTTTTTCCCATATATATTTTTTTTTGTTGCTGTATAATTTGTTTTCGTATTTCGCCCGTTGCCCGTTGTGCATAATAAAAAGCCGCGCTTGCCCGGGGGAATTATAAAGCAAAAGCGCAGAGACGTAAGAACAACAAGAAAATCATATACACACATACTGGCACTTATTCAATACTTTGTAAGTTATATGCTGAAAGCAAAATATAGCAAGAAACTGAGGTTTACTTTGAAACACACGAAGGTTTGCATACCCTTTTCAAGTTAGAAAAAAATTATATTTAATTTTCTTATGGAAATAATTTAAACAGGAAGTTTATTTCTTAACAAGCAAAAAAAATATATTTATAAATGTTATTTTTTGATTTAACCCTCAATTAATAAATCGAATGTCTTAAAATCTTTAAAAAGTTAAGAGCTTACAAAAATGTATATAATTGTAATTTCAAAATCATTTTCTTTGGAGATTTAGGAAATTATTAAAATAAACAGATATATATTTCAGAATTTATATGGGAAGTCAAAATGAGGTCTAAAAAATACATCTCCATCAAAAAACAAGAAATATTTGCCAAGTCAGCGAGATCATATTAAGATTTCTGTTGTTCAGATAGTTCGTGTTCATATAATACCACATTTTTTTTATAAATCATTGCAAGCAACTGTCTTGAATTACCTCACTCTTCTAGGGTAGAAACATAGTGTTGAATATGCTGGGGGGAGTGGGGCAGAAGTTGGGGATGGGGTTTTGAAGGCAGGCGGGGTAAGCAACCTGAGCTGAGCAATCAGGCCGAACCACTCAGCAGACCGAGCGGGCCAAGAAAAGTGCGAGTTTGCAAAAAAATACTTTGTTTTTCAGTTTATGCAGCGGCACAACTTTTTTTTAAGAAACAGCATGCTCGTGCATATATAGAATCCGCTTAGCTATATATTTACATGTACATAGTGTTTCTGTGCAGTCAGAAATCAAACAACTAAATTGATTATGTCTGTGAGAGCGACGCCCCAACATTTCAGCTTTTCTTGCCGCGGCAGCAATTTCATTTCAAATTGCAGTTAATTAAGTCACATCGCCTCTAAATGCATTAGCTGTACTGAGAGTCCGAACCATAATTCATTTTCAACTGGAGTGTTCTAATTGCACTTGCCCTGACAGCGTAGAAATCATGGGTCAGAGTTCAACTAATTGTCAGTTGACAGTTTGAAGTCAAAGAACCTTTAAATTAGAGCCACTATGGGGAGATCGAAGTGTACAGATAAGAAAGTTACAAATATGTATGCTTAATAGATGGACTGAAAGGAAGGAACTAATGGAGCTAAAAGTGTGGGAAGTCAGGGGAAACTTTGGGGTCACAAGTGATTAAAAATGATAACATAAGTGTTGAGAACTCAAAAATAATTTTTAAGGAAGTGATAAGATCTAGTCGGTTCCTCAAATTAACATCAATTTAAGAAAATGTGAAGCGTAACTAAAGAGAAAATAATGACCGTTGAAACATTTGTTATTTATGTATCATCTAAAAGGTATATATTAAAAAAAAAAATTGATTTTAAGCTAAAATCATTTATTACTATTTAAAAAACTTTTCCCCATTTTCTAAATTTAAGATATGCTATCGTTGTCAATCAGAAGACAACTTTCATATCTACCTAGATACGAACTATCAATCCGATAACAAGACGCACTTGACGATATAACTGGAAGCCTCATCAGGCCAACAACTTTCCCACTTTGCCACACTTCCACTTTCCAGAGACAGTGACTGAGAGTCGAGACTCCCCAACTAAATGAAATGATAAATGACAGCAACTCAAACCCAGACCAGAACACCAAAACCAGACGCTTCCAATTGCGTGGATCGTGCATTGATACACAGAAAAAAATATAGAAAACAATATGAGTCACGTTTTTTCTGTAATAAATTTTTTTAAATATATAATATTAGTCATCAATATGTGTAAAAAAAAAATTATAAAGATTCGATTCCAAGCGAACAATTTGTATGCCTAATCTCACTTCTATTTAATAAAAAATGTGTATCCAATCTAAGTTCACTTGGAACTACTGTTTACAGCACTGTTTTTCCTACAATCGTATGTGTATATTTATTATAATATAACGATCATATAAGTGCATGACGAAAACTTTAAAATTGTTGATATGGGAATATTTTTACTTGGCTTTTTTAACATTAATTAAGTTTTTATTTCAAGTTATGAATTTTTAATAAATTAGAAAGCCTTCACATATATTTTCCTCTGTGTAAACATATGAGCACACGACCGAGCTCGAACCAAAGAGCAACAAAATAAAAACATATAAATAACCCCAAACGAACCCCAAACGAAATTCTACACACACAATTAAGAGGAAGTTTTTACCACGCTTTCGCTTATCAACGAGCTGAGATCGCTCTATGCTCGGTTAAATCGATCAAATTGCGGTCCCAACTCCCTGAAAACAGTCCCCCACTCCGGCCGCATTACATCTTCAATGGAATTTCTTTGTTCGAGTCCGGTTTTGTCCCCAATTCGGAAGACTGCAACTCGAAGGTGACTCATCGGTTTACCGGGGCATCAAGTGGAGCAAACAGATTTTAACGATCTTGCAGGGCTTCATTAGAGATTTGGTCGGTAATCTGATAGGTCCCGCATTAAATATCACTTGTCATTAGATACTGTAATTTACTGCCATAAAAAATGTGATTCAAGCTACTTAAAACCAATTTTTTCTATCGTTTCCGCATTTCAGTGTGCAAAGAGTGGCTCGTGCGTGAGGATGGCGCTCTGGCCTATAAACTCCAGTCCCAAGAGAGTAAGTACCAAAAGGGCAACTAATGTATAGCCATTAAACTAATGCATAAAATCATTTCCCTCAGTCAATGACTTCTACAAAGGAAACCGGTACAGAAACGCGGTGGTTCGCGAGGATTTCCCAACGGCGCTGCACGAACAGATCAAGGAGAAGGAGCAGGCCCAGCGAAGGGTGGATGCCTACAGGAGACGGCTAACTGAACAGTAAGTCGAGGAATAAATATTATTATAAACATTAAAAAAAGGTTTTTAAAAATAATATTGCCTTAATCTACTTACACTTGAAGAACCTTAAAAAAGTTAATTACACCTAGACCTACTTAAAATAGAACAAAGTTATTCATTTTACATAGTTTACCGAATAGAAGTAGTTTAATAAACTGCTATTTTCATCTTATTCAATTTAAAATGATTTTCTTATTATTAAAGATGGAAAATTACATTTGATTAATGATAATTCCATTCAGCCTTTTATTAATAGCCTTTATAAACAGTCTCTCAATTACTTATTTGGTACTTAGTAATTGTTAACAGAGGTGCAACAAATGTGTTATATTGTTAGTTACAAATTTTTGAAAGTCATGCAGGCACATTTCTCCATTTTCAATAGAACTAATCACAATATCTCAACAGGGAGGAGCATGACAAGCGTGTGGCCAAAGAAATTGCTGACAAACTGGAGCGTGATTTGCAGGAGCAACAGCAAAAGGAGGTGCAACAAAGCGAGTTGATAGCCAAGCAAATGCAGGTAAGTACCTTTGATTTTATGGTATACCCATATCCCTTGAGTAATTAACTCGATTGCAGGAAATCTATGTTAATCTGCCACCTGTGCCGCCGCCAGCAACTCGCGAGAAAGGCTCCCGACCGCCGCCCCGTCCCGCCAAAGCAAGTATACACCTGCAACAGCAGCAACATCATCAGACACAGCAGCAACATCAGCCAGAGCCGAGCACCTCACAGCAGGCTAGATATCACAGTCAGCAACAACAACAGCAGCAGCAGCAACCATTGCAGCTACAGCAGCAACACTTCTCACAAACAGACAACTATGTAGGATTATCGCTAATACCAAATATTGTAGATATGCCAGCGGCGGCAGCAGCAACATGCACCACTCCCACTAGAAATGCACAGGCACACAATCAGCTGTTGGTGAGTGATGTCTTATCATCGCCACAGCAGCACCAACAACATCACTCACGTTTTCATCATGCACAGCAGCAGCAGCAGCATCAGCAGCAACATCAATCATCATCGCCGGCACGTCGACCACCAACAAATGCCACCGCATCCACTATAACTAACATGCCCAGCACTTCATCCATAACTCAGCACCCACCCACACAATCCGCACAGGCAGCTGGCATCGATGAGCCGGTGGACTATGCCGATGTTGCTGACAGCATACGCGACTACAACATCGCTGCCACGAGCACGGCAGCAACATCGGGCAGTGTTGTCGATGCAGCTGCAACATCACTCCAAAAACAACGCTCCCCGTCACACGAAAATCTCCTAAGAACCGAACCGAAATTTCAGAAATTGTCACCCGAGAAATACGATCAACTGGTGGGCAATTTCGGTTTGGGATCCGGTGCGGGATCGGGATCGGCCAAGGCAGCTGAAAGACACATGCAGCAACATGCCGATGACATCGAGCTCTATGTGGATCCCTGTGATTATGCGAGCCTGCGGGAGATCGGTCTGCCGATGGAAGAGATCCAGGAGATGAGCAAGAAGCTCAAGCAGGAGCAGAAGGATGAGGTGACCGTGTTTATTTTACAACTATCATAAATTTCCTGTAACCGTTCGTTATTTCATTACAGTTGCTGGCTCGCAGGCTGCAGGCCATTGAATCCAAGGACTGTGTGCGACAGGAGCACAGGGATCGTCTGCTGGCCATTGAGGCGCAGGACAAGGAACTGGCCAAAATGTTGCAGGACAGGGTAAGGCATTCACGATTAGCAAGAGAAGGGAATAAATATGTGTAAATTATGAAGATATGACCAAAAAAGAGAGAAGAAAAATGTACATTCTACAATCATAGAAAAATGTTATTAGGGACAAAACACTATAAAACTATAAAAAGTCAAGAAGTTTTTACACTTTTTAAATAATCAAGGATTAATTATACTTAAATACCCGATCTATTTTACGATATGTTTGCCAAATGTTTTTGTTCTTTTACTCAGCTAATAAATCAGCCAACTTTATAAACCGTTTCAAAATCGTTATCTCGGGATTTTAAGCGCATTTTAAACTCTTGTTGAGAATTCTTATACTCTCGATAGGAGTAAGATTTCTATTTTGTATTCTTTTTTAAAGCCTTTAATTATTTAAAAACAAGAAAAATAATCCAAGTATTTTTAACCCTTATAACCCCGACATTTTTCCAAAAATTATAATAATGGACTGCTACAACAACTTTAGATGAACTCACGAAACTATTTTTGCTATAAATACAACAATTTAGGAATCAGAAAGGTAAATGGAATGCAATTGAGCCTTTAAGGTTCGCAGGCTTGTTTTTTCAAAACATGTTTTAATCATTTCAAACGAAGCTTGTTGATGAGTTTTCATCTTTGTCTTGCTATATCAGCCTTTGTTGAGATCATGAGCATTACATTTGTATATCAAAATGTTCATTCGTTAGAATTTTAATTACAAGAATTACAATCATTTAATTTTATGTGCTTTTAACTTTTTTACTAAAACACTACCTCGATCTTCCATTTTAGGAGAAGGCCAAGGCCAAGCGGGCCAAGGAGAAAGCTCGATTGCGAAAAAGTCAGCAGAAGGAAGCCGCAGAAGCTGGCAATGGGAATGGTGGTCTGCTCTGTGGCACCAATTCCCATTGTGGTCCGCTGCTCCCACTGCCCCCGGATTGCCTTTCCACCACTGCCAATCATTCTCAGGCCGACATCGATGTGGAGGCCTACTCCAATCCCATAGACGTGCTCAACAACAGTCGTGAACAGAGGACCCACAATGGACCTTTGACCAATGGCAGCCTGACCAGAGATGGGGGCTCCTCCAATCACAGTTCCATGCAGAGACAGCAGCGGAACATGGCACCCATTAGGGGAGAAGATGATATCTACACTCTGCCCGTGGACAGTTGTCGGCCAGGACAAAGGCCTGTTTCACTACACATGGCAGCGGAGGCAGTGCAACAGCTTCAGACCCACAATTCTATGACGAGGTGAGTTGGCACTCCAAGAAAAACAAAGGAAAAGTACCTTCTTTCTTTATAAACAACTGCTTAAGATCATCACAGACTTTTTATGAAACATTAATTATTTACATTATTTTTGTTTAAGCAATAAATTTAAAGTGGAAGCGTCCAAAAATTAATTAAAATTATTGATTTGCAAAAAGAAATTAAATTTGTTGTATATAAAAATCAATTCAATAATTTATTTATTTTCATTTCACCTATTTGTGTTACAATAAACTTTAGTTTTTCAAATTTTACACCTTTAAATTGTTTATTTAATTAAATTTAATTACAAAATGATGTAACCAATTTTTAAAACTGGGATTGTTTGTCTTTTAAAAATGTAATTAGCTTACCCTTGTAATCTTTGTTTTATCCATTCTTTTATATTTTTTATTTCCCACAGATCCGAGCATTATGGATCCGAGGCTGGTTCCCATGACAGTTCGCATCAGAGTGGCCAGGACATATCACCCCACATGAAATACTCCAAGTCCGGCAATTTCGGTATATATGTATAAAAGGACTCGCCTTGAATTATCCCGCTAAATATTAATATGTTCTGATTGCAGATCAAAGTGCCAGCCCCACGCCGCCTTACATGCCAATTCAGGGTACTCGACGATCAAATTCAAGTGAAGATCGTAAAAAGAAGTCCAAGGACAAGTGCACGCATCAGTAAACCATTATCACCCATTTAAACCAACACATACATATATGCTTTCTACTCTCTTGACAATGAAATTGTTCAGATCAAAATCATTACCTTTTATTGATTTATTCAAACCTTTCTCACATTGTATCTCTAAAACTTAAAAGTAGTTTATAGTTCAAATACATCAAAAATATGTATAGTTTACTATGTGTTTTCAGTAATGGTTTTAAAAGAAGACATTATTGAATTTACAATAAAGATTTTTTTATAGATACATAGTTATATTATATTTATTACTTGGGGAAGAGATAAACGATCTTAACAAAAATACAATTAATTGGCCAAAAAAATAATTTTGAAATACATTTTTTTAATATCTACATTGTACATTGAACAAATGAAATTAATTATTATAAAATCGTACAGCAAAAATATTTGTATATAAGAATATTAAAACAAACTATTAAAGTATTAATATTTAAAAGTAAAAGGAAACCGTCTCCTAGTTCCCAAAATATGAACTTGGATATGAGTAAAGAAATTTTAAAAGTTTATACTCAGCAAGTAATTCGGAATGAAACAGAAAGATAGACATGTTCAAATCGATGCTGATTGACGAGATCAAAAAATACATTTAAAAATTACCTACATAACAAATATATTTAAACTTAAAAATAATTAGTTTTCTAAATAATTGTGCTGAGCATCACAGTTAATAAAATCATGAACAGAGTTAAAGTGTAAATATCTGTCAAATATTCTTCGTGTCCTGCAAAGAACAATAAAAAGTCAGTAGCATCCAATTAAAAACTGAATCCGCAAGATGGTTTTGTCTCATCCATTCATCATTTACCAGCAGAACCGCATATTTCTGTTGAAGAAACTTGAATCTTAGAGTATGTGAATTTCATTAGTTGTGAGTAAGCCTTTACCTTCTGAATAATTTTTGTTGTACTTCCAATAATACTGTTCTCGATCAGTTTTTGCTTTTGCCTTTGTTTTTTTTACTAACATCAGCAAGTTTGCGTCCAATACCGGAGATCAAAACTTGTGAAACTGGTATTAAAAGTCACAAGTTAGGGTCTCAGGGAATCAGCCATACAAACATTTGCACATGTCACTAATGCCAATATTTACATATGCCCGGATGCATTTACATTTCCAAGGCTTTCGTAAAGAAATTCAATGAAAGTCTGGCTCAGAACACTTTTCTTGTTGTCCACAATCAATTTTACTTGCACCACCAACTTTTGTATGGCTGGGAGTGGGTTCTGTTGGTGGTGCACTTCGATTGGGAGTTTTAATCAATTGCGGCTTGTAGTCAAGCAAAGAAAGCTAGCACATTGTATAGTATGATTTGTAATTACTACTATACAACCTACTACCTCAATTTGCCAGAGAGAAAAAGGTCCTTGGTGTAGTCCTTTTTGCTGGGTGGTGGTTTGGTTTTTAAAGGATTTTCTGGGTGAATTTATTGGTTCGGTTTTTGGTTTAAGAGATGTTGGCAAACAAGAAGAATAATAACGGGGAGAAATCATATGGGAATACGGTAATATTTTTGCTATTATTAAATGAATATACATACGTTTATAAATAAAACATGATAAATATGTTTCACAAATAAAACATTTTTAATAGCAATCATTCTTTCTTGATTTATTTATTTATTGTGTTATCAGATATTCATATAATCTTTGAGTTTATTAAATCTTTTTTTTTTTTAAGTTCATTTTCTTTGAACCATAATTTTATAACGCATTTTATTTGGATGCATGTGTTAGCGAAAATGAATGCTTAATCAAATTTAAATTGTTATCTTTTGGCTTAATTTTTTTAGCCACAGGTTATTTTTTATTTTAAATTAATTTTTTTCGAGAATTGTCTGGTAAGCTTCATTTGTTGTATTTTATTTATGTTTATAATTATTATTTGAATTAATATTATAACTTTTTCATGTTTATTATCGCTTTTTATTCGACGTTTTATGCATACTCCGGCATCATTACATGTTTTAGATTTGTCATTCGATTTTGTTGCCAAAAACCAGTTGTTTGCATTGACAGACTCCCATAATGCCGGTCTTGTAACAGATATAAAACAGCACAAGTTCGGATTTACGGGTTTCTGTTAATGGTCCATATGTAAGTATGCACCATTTCGTGTTGGATTAGAAATCGTTTAGTTGGTACTTGAAATTGAATTCGTCCCGGAGCATCAAAAACCAACCCCTTTTGGGTAGGGAAACGTGATAATCCATTTGGTAAAGTTGTGAAATTCCGGCAGGACAATAGAAGTGAGTTCCTTATTCTTCTGACTCATCTGTAATTTTAGTTGATAAGTTAAGTATTTCAATATTTTTTATCAAAATAGTTACGATTCTTTTTCATTCTTCTTTGAGGTCAAATAGTGGCTAATTAGTTGCAATCTGCAAGAAAAGAGATATATTTTAACGACAAGTAAGTTTTTTTTATTTTATTTAGACTTTGCTTTGGTTTTTTAATTTTGAAATCCAATTGCAGTTCAATGACCTAATTCTTATTATATTATATATTAAGTTGAATATTTCCATATATGATTAATATCCAATTAAATTTTGAATGTTTGTAACTACATATTTATTCCAAAATATTTCCTCGTTTCCAAATAAAATGAGAGCTTCTTAATGGAAAAAAGGCATAAATATTAAATGCAATGCTTATTACCATATATTTACGTTTATGGTTATTTCCACTTTGTGGCCACTTTAGTGTTCGATAATCTGCAAGAGAAAGAGGAAAGCAATATGAAATAAATTCTACTTAACCTGAATAGATTTGTTTTTGTGCAGTATATCTAATATTACATTTTTCATAGAATTGATTGTTTATTGCTTGTTTCCCATTGTGTCCACATTCACCTGCGATAAACTGCAAGGAGAGCTTTGTGTAAGAAACAATTCCACTTGACTTGTCCTAATCCCCGATAGATTTGTCTCTCTGGCCACGTAAGCCGATCGCCCAGTTCGCTGCAATTTTGCAACAAAGGAAAGCCAGCGATGGAAAAATTGCATTACATATTCATCTTTTTGCACCGAAAAAAAAAGAAACGAAATATAAGAAATAGTTCGACGCGAACTCAAACATATAAACTATATGAAGAAGGGGTATATATGGTGGCTATATATCTATTATGTATGGATGGATGGTTGGGTGAGGAAACGTTGCTGCAGCTGAAGCTCAGAACCGAAACTGAGGCTGAACCTGAAGCTAAAGCTATGCCACTATGCTCGGCTGAGCGGCGGCAGAGCGGCGACTGCGGCTGTATCTATCGAGTGTTTTGGCTATATGTGTGTTGTTGTCCCGAGTTCCCTGTTCCCAGTTGCCAGTTCCCAGTTGCCATTTCCAAGTTCCATGTTGCAGCATACTATACTACATATGTACTAGTGGGGGTACTGGTACTGGATACTGGGTACTGGGCATACTGGTGATGCGATTCTCTAGCCGTCTTCACCCATTGGCCCTGCCACTTTTCCACATGTTTTCAATGCTTCTTTCGGTGGTAGCAGCAGACGGCCGTCTGGAGCGCAGTTCGTTGGCTGTACCTATTTTCGCGTATTTCAGCCAGGACCTGCCTCAACAAATTCACAGCAGACAGACGCTACACACACACAAACACACACACACACACACCAATACCAGCAAGAGGGGCTGCTTTCTGGTTTCCTTCCTATTAAAAACCGGTAACAGTCCGCAGCAGCAGAGCAGCGCTGCAAATTTTTGCACAACTTTTTTTTTTTTGCAACTCGTTCTCGACTCTCTTAAGCTCTCTTAACCCTCTCGGTAACGCTCTCTTTTTGTTTACCTTCGATATTTCATATAACTTTAAATTTATCAAAAAATATCACCCATACGCCGTGTGTTACCCGTATACATTTTTGGTCATATTTAAATTTATTTATTTGCTACGCAATTTCATTAAAAGTTCGTTATTTATGTTGATAAAATCACTTTTACGGCATCCTTTGGCCCTTAGCTCATTAATCAAAAATAAATTTTCATTTCTGTCCTGTCCGCAGGATGCAATCATCTGGAAACTGTTTGCTTTTCCTTCACTCGCTGCTTGTCAAACTGAATTTTTGCCATTAATTTTCATTTATCGCTGGCAGCAGAAAATTAAATTAAAACTGCGACATTATCAATGGTAATTTGCTGTGATTGAAAATATTCTCCGGGGTAAATAGTGCATATTTACTTGTGTATACAAATAAATTATTTTATAATATTCAGTTGAGCAGATGGCTCCTATGCATATTGATAAAAGGATTCTTTATTTGTATTGGTTAATTAAAAAGTAATTAAATAAGCATATATAATATCTGTAACATTTTATGATTTTATTTTGAAAGGAAATGTTTTAATAAGTATAGGCAATGTCTTAAGATCTTAAATAATTAATTTCCACACTTGAAGTTGCTTAGATGGTTTGGCTATAAATAAATTACAAATAATGAATGCAGCCTTTTAATAAATATGAATTTAATATGAATTTAATTGAATTGATAACTCTCAAGATTTTTAGACCATTTTTAAATGCATTCCTTTTTATCAGCCTGCCTTTTTATTATTTTGTTGAACTGCAATTTGTGCCATTTGATTTCCCTATTAACGCCAGCATCAAGTTTTGCAAAAAAAACCAAGGCCAAAGCTCCCACACACAGACACACAGCCAATGCCACACACGCATACAAATGCGACAAGGGGAACCTACACACAAACAACAACAACAGCACCTATATGTGTGGGAGTTGCACAAAATTATGCAATACGCCAAAACTCTTTCTGCTCTTCTAACTCTTTGGGCGCTCTTTGAAGAGAGCCCTCTGGTGTTTTGTTGATTCTCACTCAATGCCATTGTCATGGGAGCCGAAAGAGGGGTTAAAGGGGGTGGAGGGATTAGTGAAGAAGAGTAAAAAAAGAGTGGAGCAGAGTCAACATCATCCAACCAACCAATTCAATTAGACTCCGCTGCTTGGCCTTCGCCATTCCACTCCTTTACCCCTCTCTTTGGGACCCAATCCCCCCCCCCAACTCCCTCCCCCTTTTTCTCTCCTTTCTTGCCACAGACAACAACAAAATGTGGAGTTGCGCGATGGCAACCCTATATTGCAGATGGGAGAGTCGCAGAGTTGCAGAGTTGATTAACCTTTGGGCGTTCTGTTTTGCAACTTCATTCGTGGAGCTGCTCCGATTTAAATGCTGCCCCAAGCGGCATTAGTATTGGTGTGCCACGTTTGTTTGTGTACCCTATGTGTCTCCTTCTGTTGCTCTTCTTTTTGTGTGTGTGTGTTGTTCGCAGCCATGTTAGCAGCCATTTTTAATGGCCATATACGACTATACGATCCAGCAGAGCAGAGAGAATCCGGAGAACGAATCTGTATCTGCAGTTCAGTTCAGTTTATGCTTCATTCACTCTAAGCCGCCAAACTCCTTCTGGCCCCCAACATATACATTCACACGGTAAAAAATATAAGAGTGATCTCCGGTGGTAAAAATCCATTTGGATATCTATAGGTTTTTAAATATAATTCTTCTATTTTACAACCATAAATATCAGTAATTTTCCAGATGATAATGAAAGGACTTATTGTTTATATATAACTTAGTCATATAAAGGGTGAAATTCAAGTCTTTAAAAAATGTACTACAGATAATATGAAGTTATTGTAATATTTATAAAATGGATAATAACACATAACACATAATTTTGTACTGCTTATACTGCTATTATTATCACTACTAACTTTTAGACCAAAACTATGCAGCATTTTATTTATAGTTTGACCGTGACTGTTCCTTTTTGAGCAGATTAAATTTTGTTAAGGACTAAGAAGATTGAAGTTAAAAAAAAACAAAATCTGTAAAAAGGCCAACCAGTGTTTTTATATTCAGATTATTTTTTTCTCTTGAGCCTCCGTTTTTTCCTTTTTTTCTTTATTCTGTCATGAAACTTCCTACTTTTCCTGGCCTTTTCCTTCCTTCTCGCCCGCGTTGGTAATTGTAATTGAAATTTGGCGTTGAAGCGAGTAAATGCTCGCTCTCTATGCACACTCTCCCTCTCGCTCCCACCGGGTGCTGCCGTCTCCCTCTCGCCTTGCCTGCACTTTTATTACAGTTGCCGCTTTTTGGCCAAAAGTTGTTTTGGCCTTTCGCTATGCTCTTCCTGTTTGTTGGTGTGGGTCATGGCTGCCGCGTCATGCTACGGTTCCCCTCAACTTCGCTTTGTTTTTCCCTTTTCTTTTTATGTTTCCTTTGGCTCATTTTATTTGGTTTTTGGGTACATTGACTGCTCCTTTTTATGGCCGAGTCTGGGTCTGGGTCTGGCTTTTTTTCTGGGCCTGGGACAGCGGCACTTGCCGTGTTTTGACTGGCCTTTTGTCGCTACTCGGCTGTTGGCTGCAGGCATAAAATTGTGCAATATTTTTGTCGCCAATTAAATCCGATGACGCGTATCTCTTAAGGTTTTATATTTAAAAAATTATGTATTTTTTGTAGGACAACAATCAGAACGATTGAAAACCATTATAAAATGATTTTTTAACTCGTTTAGAAACTTTTATCAAAACTTGTTTTCTTAACAGAAAATAAAAATTAATATTAACTTTGAAGTATTAGTTCTACCCACCAAAAATATTATATTTTGTATTACGATTAACAAGAGACTTTTACGATACTATATATTCAACAGGTTAAAATTATTATATTATTTTAAATTCAAAATAATTAAGAGTCTTTTTTTAAAAGTAAAGTTTTTCATAATAAAAAATTATTTAAGAATTGGACCGTTTTCTTAATAATCTGTATTAATTAAAACTTGTTTAAAAAATTACAGAGTGCAAAAAGTTTAATTGTATGTATTTAATTTTACCTAAATTCGGGTTCATTTGATTTTTTATTTAATATAGCAAAACTGCAATTATGTCCCTAAACGATCGCCTTTTCGAAACGCGAGACCCCATATAAATCTCAATTGATCGATCGATCCCTAGGGCTTTTGCGGTTGGGACACCATCTCAACCTGTTCCCTCGACTTTTTTGCCAATTCTTTCATGTACCTTTGCCGTCTTGGGCTCTTCTTTTGGCCTGTTGTGACAGCAGGAGAAGAGTATCTTTGGTTGCGATTTGTATCTGCACACTCGTATCTCTTATTGGCTGCTGTTTATTTGCTCGCTGCGTTCGCTTATTGAGTTTGCGTTTGCTTTATGTCTGGGTGCAGGCGAAGGCGTTCAATGAACTCGGAAACTCTGGGACCGAAACTCTGAGACAAGACTTTGTAGACAATCGCTGGCAAACTTTTTCCCTTCTTACAACTTGCTTTCGTTTTTGGAGTTTGTCGCGAATATTTCGCTGGATGGTCAATGGTTTATTGCAGTGGATTGAGGGGCTTTATTGGTTTCAAGCTTTTTTCAATTAATAGATTTATCTTTATTTGAATTTTTCGTTAAACTTTAAAATGTATGCATTTATTTATAATTTTTGGGCTGGATTTTAAAGAATATATTACTGATGTATCAATATAAATTTGTATATTTTTCTAATACTTTGATTTTTATATTTTTAGGTACAGGTACAAAAAATTGTCTATTATGAATATGTTTATTTAATATTATTTTTTCATGTCGTAATAAAATAATGTATTGTTTTGTAGTTAAAAACTAAATATAAATGCAATAACTGATACTAACAATAGTACAAATTCCAAGAAAGTTGATCCCAACAATAATAACTACACTAATCTAATAAATATAAATATTTAATTCACATTTCGTAAAGAAATTGTTAAGTGTTGACTGTAAATAAGCATATCTTTGGTATTTTTCTAAGTGGAAGATTAAGCACCTAATTGAAACCGAAAGAAATCCCCAGATATTGGGCAAAAAAAATGAATAAAAATCGTGGAATGAGAGACCCCCGAAGATATTGAAATAACTTTCGGGAGCAACAATGGAGGCGGAAGATAAGCGGCAAAGTATTCCTTCCTTGATATAATTTCGCACTGGGTAAGGAGAGCGAGTGAGACGGGTG